ATAAGCGCTTTTTTTTATCCTGTCTCCAAATTGATCTTTGTCTGAACTTTACATACATACATACCTACACCTTACTATTTAATCAGTTCTTTTTTTTTTTGAGCTCTGTTCTTCACTGACTTATCTTGAGACACAGGTATCATGTGTTTATTATATATATATGCTCTGGTTTTCGTCTTGCTCTGCTTACCTTCCATCTTTTTTTCTTTTTCCTTTCTTCCCACACTGTCAATGAATCATCACTTTCTTTTTCTTTCTTTGACAATGTTGGTTGGTCAGTCAGGGGTAGTTGAGGTAGTAATTTGTGGTCTGCCAATATGCTTCCAGTGCCACCAATGAAAATCATCTCTAATTTTCAAATGTTTTTAGGGCTTGTAGCTCAGGAGGACCCCACATAAGCTGGTATAAATAACACTCAATTTTTTTTTTTAGGATTGGGTCTGCCTTTTGGCACACCAAAGATTTCCACTGTGCACACCAAAAAGCCAACTTAATTAACTCCCTTCCCTTCCTGGTCGCAGCGGTGGGCCGCTACGCTACGCTACACTTTTGGCCCAAAAAGCGTAGCGTAGCGGCGCTTTTTTTTCCTCAAAAAATTGTAGTGTTAGCTTGTTTTTAGCGGTTTTTCGCTATGCTACGCTGCGCTACAGCGCTTTTAGTGGAAAAAGCGGCCAAAAACCGCTAAATAGCGCTGTAGCGCAGCGTAGTGGGCCCTTTTTTGCGGCCCACACGCGTAGCGTTAGCGGTGTTGTGGCAGAATTCCGCTACACTACGCTTAGCGCTAACAGGAATACTGCTGCGTTACGCTACACTAACCGCTACGGTTAGTGTAGCGGCCCACCGTTGCTGGTTGGAGTGGTAAACCACTTGTTGCATTGTGCCAACTGGAGGGAGGGACTCGCAAGCAGGGTCCACCCCACGGCCCAAGAGCATTAATGATTTTGGTGCGGGGTTTTTTAGAATCAATCTCACACAAATTTGGTTGATTGTTTTTCCTCTAGTTTTCACTTGGGGGATCTTTCAAGCTGTCCCCATCTACATATAACTAAAAAAATAGGCTTAGAGAGCCAAACAAACTGTCATGCAATCTAACGCTGGTGTTAACCTCCAATTCACATTTGTTGGATTTGTCGATGCCTGCGTTAGACCAAGGCAGACAGGTGTCCAACTCAAGAAAACCCCAAAGGTCATCAAGTAAAACCCCCAACATCCGGGGCAAAAACAAGCAGCCTCCCCAAATTTGGGGGCATATATTAGTCTATGTACTAATTTTACTAGGGGCTTGGAAAAACGACTCCTAAAAATTAGTCGACGACTCCCGTTTTGGTCGGGAGGTCGTCGAACGGGAGTCGTTCTTCCATTTCCCCCAAAAAAAGGCGAGTCGTCGTCCTAATTTCAATGGTGATTTTTTAATTTTTTTAATTAAAAAAAAGGGAGTCGCCCGCCTAAAGGGCGGGAGTCGTCGTACCAATTTAGCCAAATATTATTTATTTTTTTTCATTAAAAAAATTGGGAGTCGTCCGCCTAAAGGGCGGGAGTCGGCCTCCCAAATTTGATCTTTAATTTTTTTGATATTTTTTTTTTCCTCGGGAGTCGTCAGGCCAATTACCCAAGACGGAAAGGGAGTCGATGGCCCAATCGTCCACTGGACTTTTTTTTTCTTCTCGCAGGAGTCGTTGGAAAATACCTAGGAGTCGGCTGGGGAGAAGAAACCTTGTTTCTTCTCCCACACAGGAGTTGCCGCTCCACACCCATTGACTGTAGGGAGGAAGATTCAAAATCCAATGACCCACTACTAGTTTTTTTTTCTGCCTGTGTCTTTTTTTAGTTTTTATTTTTTTTCCTCTATCCTTTTTTACCCTGTGTTTTTTTCTTATATTTCTCATCAATTGAATTCTTTTATCCCTGTTTTTTTCTTACATTTCTCATTGTTTTTTTGTTTACATTTCTCAACATCTCATCAATTTATTTCAATTATTTCTTGAATTTGTTTTTCTCAATGAATCTAATTTTTAATCATTGATAAAGTGCCTTTGGGGCGGGGCCCCAGTGGCTGAACTTTTTTTTGATTTTTTAGGGTCGCTAGAGCTCGACAACTCCTGTTTTGAGTTGGACGACTCCCGTTTTTTTAATGCAGAAAAAAGGTTAAAATATTGAATTGGGGCGCCGACTCCCGCCCTTTAGGCAGACGACTCCCAATTTTTTTAATGAAAAAAAATAAAAAATATTTGGCTAAATTGGTACAACAACTCCCGCCCTTTAGGCGGGCGACTCCCATTTTTTTAATTAAAAAAATCAAAAAATCACCATTGAAATTAGGACGACGACTCCCCTTTTTTTGGGGGGAATTGGAAGAACGACTCCCGTCCGACGACCTCCCGACCGAAACGGGAGTCGTCAACTAATTTTTAGGAGTCGTTTTTCCAAGCCCCTTTTACTAATGGTCAACACATCTCCTTCATTAATGATGCATTAATGATGATGATTGTAAGATTTCCAATTTCAGATACTGTACATACAGTGCAAAAGGTGTGATGCAGGATGCAGAGGCAGGAGAATTGTGATCACCAAAAATGAAAGTCAAAAGCCATACAAGCGCCTAAAAAATCAGCAAAAATATGCAATGAATCTCCATGATCTTATGCATCTTTTGCCTCCACAAAAAATGGTGCTGCTACACACGATTGAAGAATGTGGATTTCCTAGTTCTCGTAGGCCACGGGCTTGATCCCTCCTTCGGAGGGTTCCTGCAGGACAGTGTCCCCCCTCCAATAGGGGGACTTGGTTAAGTTAGACCAAAAAGGGGTGTGGACTCCAAGGATTATTGGAGTGCACTACCATGTACTCCAGATTTTAAGGATTTTCAGGGAGTGCAGGCCATGAAAAGGGGGAAAACCTTGATGATTTTGGAGTACATGGTTGTTCACTCCAAAGAATCTGGGGTTCACAGCTTTGTACTGCTGTAAATATCGGAATGTGTACCCACCTTCACTTGAAAAATTTGGATGTTTTCTTCAGACTGATATCACACAACAAGGGTCTTAACAGGGTCATTGTGGATTCCAAAAAGTAAAGCAAAAAGTATCTCTGTCTGTTGACCAGGCCTTGCCCTTATGGTGTTCAACTGTTACAAAATATCATCTTTTTCTGTAGAGTGCCATGAATCAAAAAACAGACTATGAATTGTCTATGATATCAGCCTGGCAGGAGTCCAATAAAATACCCCCCCAAATTTTTGGAGTGGAAGCTCTGTGCACTCCAAATAATTTGCAGTGAGCAGGATTTGAACTCCTATAAATATACCTGGGAAGTTCAAACACTGGAGTGCATGGGTATGCACCCCACGATTTACAGGAGTGCAAAGCTGTGCACTCCAATGTATTATTTGGAGTGCGCAATCATGCACTCCAAAATCATCAATTTTTTTTTCCCTTTTTGGTGTACACAGGGGGGGGAGGGGGAATCTTTGGGGTGCAAAAAGGCAGCCCCTTTCTTTTTTTGCAAGATTTGATACTCAAACACCTGTGGTGACCTTGAGTGACATTACCCAGTTTTGAGCTTGCAACTGACAAATTTCAATCACAAGACCCTTGCCCCTTCCCCTCCCAGGTTTCAGTTTTTGTGTAATATCCAAAAAATGCATTGAAATGAATGATGAAGAGAAATTGGGTGGATGATTACATGTTGGGCAGCTGACTTTGTTTGTTGGCCCGCTTGCCAACTCATCATCCTCTTTCTGACTTTGCACATCTTTCAAACTTTATCAAGGCCCCCAAAGGAATTTTCGGGACTAATTTGTCAAGCGGCTAGTTCCCCATTCTAGAGTGACTTAGATATCTTGTAAAAAAATGCCCTACTTGCACATTTTTTGGTTAGAAGGGAGCAGAGAAGCTTCTTATCCTGATCAGCTCAAAATAGCTGGAAGCTCCATTTATGCGCCTGGGCTTTACAATCTTGAAGTCTCTTATGTCTTTGGACGGGAAGCCATGGCCAAGTTTGCTGAGCTGGGGTAAATTTGAATTGCAATCCCACGGTTAAATCTTGATTTTAATACTGAAAATAGTTTTGAAAGGCAGGCATTGCAAGAAACAATGATCCGAAAAGGAATGCATATGTAATGTGTCGATAGTAATTGGAGTACATGGCAGCTCAGGTATTTCTCAAACATTCTTTTTCAATGATTCAGTCATAAGCAAGCAACCCCCTTTGAGAACGATTTGACCAGTAAATCCCTAATATTGAACATTAAAGAAACAATGAAAAAGAGATAAGTGTTCATAATTTGTCAATTGTTTCCGACACTTTTTCGCTTGACAATGAACCCGACAAAGTCTTACATTGTTGGTGCACGTCGACTGGAGCTTTGCGAATCCACCGTCGCGTCTGCTGTTTGACAACATTCGCCCAGAAGAACTATTTCGACACGATTCGGGAAATGTTAAAATAAGATTAGGTTTTGCCAAGACATCTTTCTGGTTGACACTCCTAGAGAAACACTTACATGTCGACTGCTGAAGAGCAAAACAGGATTACCTAGATACGAGTCGATAATAGGAATTTAGCACATTCAATCAATCGATTCATGCGTGCTTCTTGAGTGAGGAGCAAAAGATAAGCGTGTACACACCCGACATGTTCCGAAAGTTGAAGTGACCGAACCATCGTTACTTCGTACAACCTTATGCTCGCCTTCGTACTTGAAATTATAAAATGCGCTAGAAATGAGGTTGGCACAAGGCAGCCCTCGCCAAGTGTTAATTACGGAACGACGTGGTATGATATATGCGCTAAACAGTGTGGCTCTAATGAAGTGATCAGGTAACTTACACGGCACAATCATGGGCCATCAGTCCGGGGTTACCCTGAATCTTCGGCTGTTCGCAATAAGGCTTTATCTCTGTATCCGACTGGTCTCGTCGTTCCACGGCAAAACTCGCCACTTGGCTCGAGGAGATAAGCAAGAGTAATAGGACGGCTTCCACATTGCGGAACCTAAAGAAGGCCATGGCGGTCTTGCAAGAAATTGGCTTTGGTTTGAGTTGAGAAATATTTAGATCACAAGTGGTAAAGAAATGAAGGGCAGGAAATGAAAGGCAGGCTGGAGTAGCTGTAGCTGGTTAATCAGGTAATGGGTTGCACAACGAAGCGCGAAGAATGAAAGTGAAGTGAATTCTGGGATGTTCAGTCCTCCAATCCAAGGCTTCAGTTTTATTGGTATAGATTGGGTAAGCATAGCAAAAACTCAGATAGCTCTGTAGCGTGGCCGTTCAACTGCAGCCCTCGCCCCAACCAAGACGCCTCCTCCTCAGGCCGACGAACGGCTGGCCTTCGAGCAGACATTTTCCGAACTCCGCAGAGCCTGCTCTATGCCCAACAACCAATGAATTTCAACTTGGTTTCCGACGCGAGAAATTCCAGCTTGTTTCCTGCTTCGTCGGGGACGAAGGGGTGGACTTTTTTTTTGAGTCACCATGATGAAACTGCATCACCCCAATCCATGGCCCCGGTTGATCCTTTGTAACTTCGACGCCCCGAGTCTGTTTGAAATTAGATGGCACTTCTGCTTAATCCCCCCAGGTCCGGCACGATATCAAGCTGAACAACGAGTAACGAATTTGCGAAGCGTATTATGTATGCAAATGTTTCGTGAGTTTTTTTTTAGCGCTGGCCACGAGGGATTGCATAAAACATGGGTCATGGTGACCGACGACTCTCGTCCCTCGACGAAGCAATATATCCTTGCTCCAGCCCTCCGAATTTCCAGGTTAGCAATAAACGCGAGTGCAAGCAGCGTTTGCCACCGGGAGAGAAAATAGTTGCCAGGTTATCGGTCGGCGGGCTTCGGTATCAAACTTAAAGGAAGCTTGATTCACCGAGTCCAACAACGCCTTTCCATCAAGTCCGACCGTCCAACGCGCAGAGAAGTGTTGCCAATCCAACATACCTCAGCGTCTCGGAGACAGCGAGGGTTATGGAGTGGACCGCCAGACCTCTACTGCGCAGGCGCAGGTCTTGGCGTCACTCTACTCAGAGAAGCGGAGTTCACCTCTCGCTTTTCCGGGCACCAGAGCGTAACGCTTCTGGACATGTTCAGCGGCTGGGTTGCCAGCCGCCTAGGCGATCCCGGGAGCCAACCACTCGGTGGGTTCCCCAAGACCGCCGTGTGTGGGGTGTAGGGGGGGCGAGCGGACTCAGAGACACTGTAGTGCCGTCCTCGAGGGACAGCTGTGTCTTATCCGACTCAGCGGAGGGAGTACGAGCGAGTCGCAGCGCCCCCCCAAAGCAGAAGCGCACACTGGAGTGTGCCCTGGAAAGTGTCAGGCCCTCACCCCGTGAGTGGGTGAGCCTGCTGGTGAGTTTGCTGGCTTTGCTAGGGAGGGTGGGTAAAAGACAATCGGAGAACGAGGCTTCTAGCCGTCGCTGGCTAGTATTCACACTGAGAGGGGGATGGGATAAGGAGGGACGGGGTAGCGGCTTGGTAGGAGGAAGAGCCTGGGGGCACGATCCGAGGAGGGAGAGACCGGTGCTATTAAGCCGTAGCTTCTGACGACTCGCTGTCTCCTTTGGCCTTCGATAACGGGTCTGTATTCGATCCGCCGACATCTCCTCCGTCTACGGAGATACGGTCGAGGACGATTGAATCTCGCTAGCTCAGCCACTAGCTCTAACTTAACTAAGTCCCTCCGGGCAGTTGATCCGATGGCTTGCCGGAGGGACTTACGGGCTATGTGCCACCCGCGGGCCATGAGGATTAGGCATTTGGCTGGGCAATGTTTCAAAACCCATCTAGCCCACCCATTTTTGAACTTTTTTCGCGCTGGGTTGGATGGTTGTGATGGCCTGACGCTTGCGCATCTGCCCATCTCATCAGCGACTGTTTGTCCCCAAAGGTTGCGCTTCAAAGCAGCCATCCCGGATTTGAGCCATCCAGATTATGCGGTAAGAGTCTGGCGGAAAGTCTGACATCTTCCACGCAGGGAGGCTGTAACCACGGATACAGCCAGATACAGCCTCACTTGGCCCAGTTATTATGTCTCAGCAGATGATATGACCGGCTGTATTTTATGCAGCTGCCGTTGTTTCTCAGATGTGGCGGCTCATACAGATTGAACATAAAAAAAACAATTATTGGGAGCTTCCATGAAAGGCCAGGTGGGCAGACCGTCGGTCCCATCCCAACATCTTTGAGGGCACTGTGAGAAACTCCCAGGTCAGCCCCTCATTTTGATGGGCGTCTTGCCCGGTGTGGGGCCCGGAACAGGACTTGTAGAGAGCTTTGAAAAAAAAATGACTTTTTTGTAATCCTCATGTGCGAGGAGGGTGACTTAGCGCATAAGTCCCTCCTTCGGAGGGTCCCTGCGGGACGGCGTCCCCCCTCCGAATAAAGAGGGACTTAGTTAAGTTAGCACTAGCTTGTTACCCAAGCCACCTTGTGGATACAGTGTATATCTCGGCCGGAACTAACCGGTTCCTTGGACGACACCCAACTCCCACTCCGTTCCCGTTAACATAACATCCAACATACCTCAGCGTCTCGGAGACAGCGAGGGTTATTGTCAACAACAGGCGACCTCAGGGCAAGAGAAAAAAAAAAGAAAAATAAAAATAAAAAATAAAATAAAAAATAAAAATAAAATAAAATTTATCTTCTCTCCCTTTCGCTTGTAAAATTCTTACAATTAGAATTACCCACGGATCATGTTTTTTATGTTCAAATTTAGGTATTAAATTCTATTTCTAGAAATGGTTACACACATTGTTTTTTTCTATTTCTAAGTTAGGCATGTTATGTTGTTAGGCGCGTCCATGAGTCTTGAGATCAGGACGCGCGTCGCGTAAAGATTCACCTTAAATAAGCTCTCTCTTTCCGAACTCGCCTTGTTCCCCTATGGGATTTATCTTGTTTTCACTCTCGAATTACAGTATAAAGAAATCATCGCAACTCTTTTTTCATTACTCATACCTCAGGATTTTGATGATCCTCCCTGCACCCTGCCGCAAATCTGCTCGCTAAAAAGAAATAGCCTCTGAATCTCGGAAATTCTTTACATTATAAATCCCACACGACTCATAAACAGTGTTTTATCGATAGACCTTGAAACTACTCTATCAAACTGTCGGACGACTCTACCGACGAATTCTTTTCTATTAACTCTAACTCTGATCATACCTCTTCATTTCCATCCCCTACACTTTCGACACGTCCATCTACTCATTTCATCCAACCGCAATATTCTCTTATCAACCTTTCACGCCCACCCATTCCTTCGTTGACGACTAGAAGAGTACATCCCAGATCCCGATCTCGACCAGCAATGCCTCCGTACGGTTTGATCAATCCGGGCGATCAAACGCAGGACGAAATTGACCCGCAACAGGGATCAGGCTCCGGAGGCTCCCATCAACCAGAGACATTGGCGACGCGTGTGGTTCGGGGCGAGGAACTGGACAATGTGGCGGCGGAGGTTGCCCGGATGCAGAGGTCGATGGATCGGATGATGACCCTTCTGGAAAACTCCCCCTTGCTCCAACCTCCTCCTCCTCCAGTCAATGTCCCTCTACAACAGCAGGAAAGTCACGCTCACCTTGCGGTGCCTCCTCATTTCCAGCAGCAGATTCCCTCCTCGGTAAACCAGTTCGCCGGTCCTTCGACAAACAACCCGTTTCAGCGACCTGTGATCCCTCCAGAGGTTCCGGATCAAGACACGCAGCCCCAACCAGAACCGCTGCGGCTCAAAGACGTCTATTTTTCGGGGGAACCAGGACATCTGCTTTCATTTCTTCGGACGATTCGGGACTTTCTTCGACAGAACTCGAATTTCTCTTCAGAAAAGCGGAAGGTGGTTTGGATCTCACGGCACTTCGGGTTTCACCCGGCCGAGCGAAAGAAGACACCATCGCCGGCGGAGAATTGGTATAACTCACTGGTGATCGACAATGCTCGTCAACAAGGGATTATCGATGTGTATGGAGATTTAGACGGTCAACCCTTCAAGCTCCCCATGTTGGCCTCGGTTTCGGCTTTCCTCGACGGTTTGATTGCAGTCTTCGGGGACAAATTCATGCGTGAGAATGCAAAGAGGGCGTTAGAAGCTTGCAAACAGCAACAACTCACAATTGGGGAGTACAATTCCCAATTCAAATCTTTAGTTTATTTAGTGGAAGATGTTGAAGCGACTCGCATCGAGAAATACACCCAGGGCCTTAATCCGCGGATCGTTCGGAAGGCTATGTCAAAACAGTGGATCGATGCCAAAACCCTCGATGAAAAAATGGAACTGGCATCGGATGCGGCGGCTCAACTCGATATCCTTGCTTTGTTGCCACCCGACCCACCCGCGGGGTCTCAGCTTCATCCGCTCTCCTCGGCTCGTTTGGGTCTCCCCCCACCTCAACCACCTCGTCCTCAGCGTGATCCCGACGCAATGGAAATTGATGCGGCACGAGTCCTCCCGATGACTGCTGGGAAATCCCTCTTGGACGCGGCTCGGGCGATTTGTCGTGCACGGAACCTGTGCTTTCGTTGTCTGGCTCCAATCGTGCCAGGGGTCCACACCGGCAGTTTGAATTGTCCCAATATGTACATCACCAACGAAAAACGGCAAGCGTTCGTCGACCAATGTCGCCGGAACCAGAACACCTCCACTCCAGTTTCCAGCATCAGAACGGTTCCAGACAACCCACACACCTTCCTCACTTATCAGCCGGTTCCACCACCTACGCCCCTCCCGGTTCCCGAACGGCCTCCGGCAGTTCCGGAGAATTCTCGCGTTGATCAGGAAGCGCCACCACCGACCTCGAGGGGGTTTGACGAGCAATATGATGACTACGATGAAGAAGATTGCGCCACGGTTGAAGTCCCATTGGCAACAGTTCAGGTCCGATTGGAAGGTTCAAACGGAAGCCGATTATTGGTCCCAGTGTCTTTCAAGGGACCTGGGGGCTCAATGATCCCGGCTACCGTCCTGGTCGACACCGGCGCCATGGCAAATTTTGTGAACGAAAGTTTTGTCAGACAGCACGACCTCAAGACCCGCCCTCGGAACACACCGATTCGCTGCGTTGGCTTTGATGGACGCGAAGGGGTAGGAGGGTTGGTCACTCAGGATTGGGCGGGAATGATTCAACTTTCGACCATCAATTCAAAGCCGTTCACTCTTCAAAGCTCTTTCGGCATCACTCGATTAGGTTCGGTGGACGCCATATTTGGATTGCCGTGGTTGGATCGACAAGGATGGGTCGCTTCAGGTAGTTTGAAAGGAGGGCACCAATTTACTTTAGGGTCGACCCCCCTCTACGTGATCGAATCTACGTCTTTGGGAGGGAAGCCTGGAGGTAATGAAGTGTTTTCTCTTCAAACAGTTTCACCTCCTCCCTTCTCTCTTCCGCCAGAATTTCAACAATATACTGACGTTTTTATGCCGCAGATGAATTGTACGCTCCCTCCCCATAGAGAAATGGATATTTCTATTAATCTTAAGGATGGAGCCACACCCCCTTTTGGGGGCTTGTACAATTTGTCGTCTGATGAACAGCAGCAGTTGAAATGTTATATTGATGAAAATTTAAAAAAAGGATTTATCCGTGTTTCCTCCTCTAGTGCCGCAGCTCCCATCTTCTTTGTCAGAGTACCAGGTAAGAAACCCCGGCCGTGTGTGGATTATCGTGGTCTAAATGCCATGACGGTCCGCGACAGCTACCCAATCCCTATAGTGGGGCACCTTTTGAATCAGTTGCAAGGATGTAAGTTTTTTACAAAAATTGATCTCAAGGCGGCCTTCAATTTGTTGCGGGTAGCTGAAGGTCATGAATGGAAGACCGCGTTCCGCACACCATGGGGTTTGTATGAGTACCTAGTGATGCCGTTTGGGCTAGCTAATTCTCCAGTGTGTTTTCAACGTTTTATTCAATTTGTCCTCCGTGAGATGTTGAGCGTTTCCTGTTTTGTTTATATTGATGATATTTTAATATTTTCCAAGACTCGAGAAGATCATCAACGGCATGTCACACAGGTTTTGCAAAAGCTCAAGGAGCATTCTCTCTTTGCTTCCCCCGAGAAGTGTTCTTTCTACGCTGACAAAGTAACATTCCTAGGTTTTGTCATCTCACCAGAAGGCCTGAAAATGGAGGACGATAAGCTGAGTACTGTGACGGAGTGGCCCTATCCGCGAAATTTGAAAGAGCTGAATAAATTTTTAGGTTACTTAAATTTTTACAGAAAATTCATCGCGGGATTCTCCAAGGTCGCGGCTCCTTTAACCTCATTGACAAGGGATAATGAAGATACGGTTTCTGGGTTACAAACAGCTAAGTCTCGAGAAGCCTTCTCTGCTCTAAAGAAATGTTTTACGGAAGCCCCTCTACTTCAACATTTTGACTTTACCAAAGAACGGGTCCTTCATGTAGACAGCTCCAAGTATGCTCTATCCGCGGTCTTGTCACAGAAGGATAACATGGGACAGCTTCGACCGGTCTCGTTTCTCTCAAAGAAATGGAGCGACAACGAGTCATCCTGGCAATGTCACGACCAGGAACTTGGTGCCATTGTACAGGCATTTATTGAGTGGAGGGCTTGGCTGATGGATACCAGGGAGCCGGTGGTGGTGATGTCGGACCATGCAAACTTGAAGTATTTCTTTACTAATCAAAATCTGTCAGATCGACAGACGAGATGGGCAGTTTTTTTGTCCTCTTTTAATTTAGTAATACGTCACGTTTCCGGAAAGCGCAACCCAGCAGATCCCCCCACACGCCGACCTGATTTTCTCCCTGAGGACAGCAAAGAACATTGCCAACGCACATTACTCATCAACACGGAGGACGGTGTACGAGTAGGCGGTTCTTTGCCTGACGACTTAGACCCGAGAATCGATATCGGGGAAGTGGTTCCACTTCCCAATGAAAATCTTGATCCTGAACCTGTAGCTGACGTTAAGATGACCGATTGGTCATTTTGCCCGCCTTCGACAGAACTCAGAGATTTGTTACAGGAGGCTTACCGAGAAGAACCGCCCGACCCCGAAGAGGACGACGACCTTGTCTTCAGGGACGGATTGTGGTGGCTTCGTGATCGGATTTTCGCGCCACCGTCAATTCGTGCCCGGATACTGAAGGACTTCCACAATGAGCCTACGGCGGGCCATCTTGGTTCACTCAAAACATTAGACCTGATTAGCAGGACATTGTTTTGGCCCGGTATCAGGCGGGATGTCATAGATTATACTAAATCATGTTTCTCGTGTCAAAGGTCGAAGCACTCAAATCAACGGCCGCCTGGACTAATGACTTCTCTGACGATCCCTCAGCGCCCTTGGAGCACGATTAGTCTGGATTTTGTAGTCAAGCTCCCGCTGTCTTCTGGCTATGACTCTATCCTGGTGGTGGTAGATCACTTCTCGAAGGGAGTGCATCTGATCCCGGCAAACGAGACCTGGACGGCTGAAGAATTCGCTGCGTCTTTTTTTGATCGAATCTTCCGTCTTCATGGGCTGCCTGACAAAATTGTTTCTGATCGTGGCTCTCTGTTTGTGTCCAAGTTTTGGAAAGAAGTTCAGCGCCTACTCAGGATTAAGCCGGCTCCTTCTACGGCGTATCACCCAAGGACGGATGGACAAACGGAACGAGCTAACCAGACAGTCGAGACATTCCTCCGTCACTTCGTGTCAGATCGGCAGGACGATTGGGTAGACTTACTCCCAATAGCTGAGCTCGTCTTCAATAACTCCGTTTCAGCATCAACAGGATTCTCCCCTTTTTTTTCTCAATTTGCATTCCATCCACGAGTGAACACTCTTAGCGAAGGATCAACGGTTCCCGCCGCGGAGCGTTTGCTCACTGATCTGAACACAGTACAGGAAACCTTACAGGATAATTTGCGGAGAGCGAAGGAGGTTCAACGGACATATTTCGACCAGCGCGCTAGGGACGCCCCTCAGTACGAAGTGGGAGATTGGGTTTGGCTTCTACGCAGAAACATTGCCACTACCCGCCCCTCGGGGAAGTTGGATTTCAAAAGACTCGGCCCTTTCCGTATTGATCAAGTTTTGGGGAAGGACATATACCGACTGATCCTCCCCAAAGATTTGGCCAGAACTCACCCGGTGTTTCATACCTCCCTCCTGCTTCCATTCTTAGACCCTCAGAAATTCCCGAATCGCATTGGACCTACCGCGCCTAGAGGACCGACATCGCTGAACCCCACATTCTGGGATGAACGGGACGTAGAAGCTTTGATTGGGTATCGCGCACCTACGAAGACCCGCAAATCACATGAATATCTCGTTCGTTGGCGCGGGGGATCTATAGCTGATGATTCATGGGTAAAAGGGGGCATGTTTGAGGAATCTATGCACCCATATCTGGAGCAGTTTCATGATCAATTTGGTTCAAAATCTATCAGGCTCCCCGCTGACAAATCTATCCGGACTTTGCTTTAGGTACATGGTCGGGCATTTTGTCAACAACAGGCGACCTCAGGGCAAGAGAAAAAAAAAGAAAAATAAAATAAAAAATAAAAATAAAATAAAATTTATCTTCTCTCCCTTTCGCTTGTAAAATTCTTACAATTAGAATTACCCACGGATCATGTTTTTTATGTTCAAATTTAGGTATTAAATTCTATTTCTAGAAATGGTTACACACATTGTTTTTTTCTATTTCTAAGTTAGGCATGTTATGTTGTTAGGCGCGTCCATGAGTCTTGAGATCAGGACGCGCGTCGCGTAAAGATTCACCTTAAATAAGCTCTCTCTTTCCGAACTCGCCTTGTTCCCCTATGGGATTTATCTTGTTTTCACTCTCGAATTACAGTATAAAGAAATCATCGCAACTCTTTTTTCATTACTCATACCTCAGGATTTTGATGATCCTCCCTGCACCCTGCCGCAAATCTGCTCGCTAAAAAGAAATAGCCTCTGAATCTCGGAAATTCTTTACAGTTATGGAGTGGACCGCCAGACCTCTACTGCGCAGGCGCAGGTCTTGGCGTCACTCTACTCAGAGAAGCGGAGTTCACGTTCTCAAATTGGATGTCTTCCCATTTATTCCTGACTTGAAAGATCGACAGCATTGAATCGCTAGCTTAAATGTCTTTGATGGCTGTCCATATGGCGAACGGAGCTTTTTCATTCTCTTCGGTTATGATGCTAGTGAAGATTGAGTCATCGATCCCATGAGAAAGGATATTGCAAACTCGATTGGCTTTGGTTTTTGTTGGTTCATCCGCGTCTTCTTTCAGTTCCGTGTCGATGAACTCTTCCAATTCTCTAGCTCGAAGATGCATACGAATCTTTCGAACCCAAATAGGATAGTTGTCCCCATTGAACTTCGGTACGTTCACTGAGTCTTTGTCGACGTTATAGACTTCTTTCTCTTCCTTTTTGCCTTCTTTGTCTTTGGAGCGAGTAGTGGGTGCTGTGGAGGAAGGTGCCATCTCGACTTGCTTCTAGCTGTTGCTGGTCGTTGGTTCAAGCTCGAGACTGTAAATCTGAGAAAATTCAAGCAACTAAAAGGTTTTATTTTCATTAGAATATGTTTAGGTACAAGCAGTAGATAACATTATATGGATTTGTTATGTACCTAAAAGCAAGCGAGACTATTCCAGCTGTTTTTGAGGAAGGCTTGTTGAAAGAAGGAATGTATAGACGGGACAATAATAATGAGAAGAATAGAGTAGGAAATATTTCTGTTTGAAGTAATGATCTGGATTAGTATCTGTGCTACATAAAGATAGCTGTTTATAGATGACTAGTCTTACTCTTAAGAACTCGTGTTGAGTTTCTTTTCTGTGGTGTTTTATGATTGTTGCTGGTCAGCGCAGTTGATTTCTGTTCAAGTGCCAGTTCTTGGTCAGCCTCGGTTTCTTCTCTTAAGCTGTTTGTCTCAAGGTTATTTGTTCTTACCTTTGTTTGCTTCAAGGTATAGTTTTGTGTTCTGGTTGTTATAGATGTTGGTAGTGTCTGGTTTGTCTAGAGAATAAGTCTAATGTTAGTCGTTTGGCTAATTGAGTTATTCTTGGTCTGTTACTCACCGATTGTTTCGCTTAGTACGTTCTTGCTGGGCAAGGCTACTGCGATGGGGGATGACAATCGGTTGAGTAGGCTGCTACTTAAGGTCGACAATGGTCAGCCTAGAAGCTCTCATGTGTGTTTGTCTTTTCTTAGTTTAGTGTGCTGCGAACTCACCTCCTGTTGGATCTGGTGTAGTTCTCTGTTTCTGTTGCGTTGGCGGATAGGCTGTAGTCTGTAAGTTACAACTTAGTTAGCCTTCTGCCTCCTAGATGGTTTATAGCGTGATTTGGTGACGGTGGCTTACCAATCACAGCTGCGCTCTCTGTCTGTTGAGTTCTAGCCCTTTTTAGGGTCGAATCTCTGTCTATTGAGCTTGAATTCCAACAGGAGGTCCACCTCCCTAGTGCGCAGATCTCTTCTACCGGAACGCCGATGGCGAATCGTAGCGAAGTACCGCCGACTCTAAAAGAGTGGCCAGTGATTCCCTGATATCCGTGTTCGCTCCAAACTTGTCCTAGCGTTCTGACTACTTTAGTCTTAACTAAGTTGACCCGGCCGGTGGGAGTGTTGAAGCCGAAAAGCGGGACGTTGTTGGGCCCAGCTTTGGCGATCCTTCTTTTCACCGCTGCTACGGGGCAGAGCATGTGGTTCAAGCCCTGGAGGTGGATTGTCTGACTGTCGCCTGGCGCACAGGTTTTTGCTCCACGGATTTCCAGGGCGGCCGCTATTCCTAGTGGTGTTTGGTAGAACTTGACGTCTGACGTAAACAAGGTAGCGGACCATCTCAAGGTCCCTTCTTCGCGTTCGGAGGTTAGCTCAGACAGCCTAGCCATCCCCCAGAAGGCGGTTATGGCTAAGTCTAAAACTGCTTTCTGGTATGGGCCTCCAGGGAGGAGTGTCTCGGTCAATGAGACCAGATGTTTGAGCATCACCGGCGCTTTCCGGGGTCGTTTAGGAGATTGTGCGTCGGTGTGGGCGGAAGAGCGTAACAAGACTGTGATCTTGGCCTTGGCTTCTGGAGGGTATACGGTGGAGTGGTAGAGGTGCCAGGCCTGTATCCCGAACAAGTATTTGGTAAGCGTCTTGGACGCTACATCTTGAGGGCTCGTGGTTGTTGCGTTTCTTCCGGCCCAATAGCAGAATTCGTAGAGTTCTGGGGCGCTTACCGGGAGAGAGTATTCTCTCTGCCCGGTCGCTTCTTTGAACTTCCCGAACTTGCGTACCGCGGAGTTGTAGCTTAGCAGAGTGTTCCATTTGTAACCACCTAGGAAATGGATGTCAAGTGCGTTGGGTTGCTTCTTGGTGCTCCCAAATTTTAGAAAGTCTTTTATTTTAGACAAGTCCATTTTGGAAGTAGTACGAGAGTAAAGCGGACGATTTGGTAGGAGTGAGGAGATGAATTTCAGATAGAACTTTTTGGGATAAATTTTTTTTTTTTTTTTTTTTTTTTTTTTTTTTTTTTTTTTTAAGGGACGTAGACAAACAGAGGACGGTCACAGGCTGGGTAGGGCATTAAACTAAATACAACTTGTGTGGATAGACTACTGGTGTTTCAGTTTTAGTCCCATCTGCTTGCCTGAAACATCCTTTCTCCTAAACTGTCGGGGAGCTGTATGAATACCTGGTGTCTCTCTTCACGTCCGGTGCGGTCACCCCTGGATAGGGCGTCCGCGACGTTTTCTGCTGACGATACTCTCTTGGCTACGATGTCTAATTGAGATGCGACCAGCATGTCTTGTATGCGTTTCCATTCTTTGTTGACGTGGAAATCTCTTGATTTCCTACTTCTCACCGCCTCTTCTGATGTTGTGTTGTCGGTCCAGACAATCACCGTCTTCCCTTCTTTGATTTTTAGCTGCTTGATCATGATCAGGCCGATCGTTATTGCAGCCGTCTCCAGCCAGGCTATGTTCCGCCTCGGTGCTGGTCCTTCGTTCCAGCCTGCTTTGAGTTTAAATTGGGCCCACCTTCGACCGATAGTTACTCCGATTCCGTAACTTGTCGAAGCGTCTCCCATCCACCCAATTTCTGTTGGGTCTGGGTTCTGAATTAGGCGAGTGTGCTTGAACGCGAGCAGTGTCTTTAACCAGTATGCGAGGTCTTTTTGAGCGTCAGACGGTATAGGTAGTTTTGTGTTTCTATGTACCCAGCTGCACATCCATCTATACAACCCGCAAAGGTAACACCTTAGCTGGGGTAGCATATAAGAGACGTGATTTAATTGCCCCGTTAAAGCTTCGACTTCATTGAAGGAGAATTTTTTCTCTGTTTCGAGAAATTTGCCGATCCGTGTGATCCTTTGTGCAAGCTTTTCTTCTGGGAGGCGGACCGTTTTGTCGTGTGCGTCCCAGATAAAACCGATATACTTTTGCTCTCTCTTGAAGGGGGAGATCTTGGTGGGGTTTGTCCGGACTCCTAGTTCGTCTGACCGTTTCACAATTTCGTCCATCTCGACTGTTGATTCTAACTCTTTTACGAAGAGGTTATCGTCTACCCACCTGAAGACCTCTACTAGATCGAATTCAGACAGCATTATGTGCTTCCACGCGTCTGCCGGTCTCCCGAATGAGCCGCAACCGGCAACGCCTCCGAAGGCAATTCTTGTGTCGATTATTATGTTGCCGTCGAAATCTCTGAGCATGAGGTACGGCCATTGATTTTCTGCTGTCGGGATTTGACGATATGCTTTCTCCCAGTCGAAGATTGCTAAGAGGGATGGTCTCTCCCGAGCCCTTAAGAATCTAGCGACGGCTTTGTAATCGTCCCATGTTGTTTTGAATTCATCCTTGTTTACGAACGAGTTCACGGAAGGGATTTTCTTGTCTCCATGTGGGAAGGACAAGTTGTTGATTGCTCTGAACGAGCCGTCTCTGTTGATTACTGCTCCTAGCGGGTTTGTACGGAAGAATCCGTACTTTGCGTGAACTTGTTCAGGTGAGTATGGACCAAACATTCTTTTAGCTTGAATCTCTTTTGCGATGGATTCCTCGATTTTTTCTCTGGCGAGAAGCGCTGAGCTGTGGTTTGGGGGTACAAAGAATGGGAACTCGCTTCCCAGGTGGTGTTGAGGGATACCTTGGCAGAAGCCGTGCTCGAAACCGAGTAGTACGTCTTCAAATTCGGTTGTGAGATTTGCTTTTTCTAAAGCTTTCTTCCATTCTGGTATGTTCATATCACACTCGATGCCGCTTGGCCAGGTGCCTTCAGCGGGTAGCTCCTTTTGGCACTCGCTTACTTCACTCACTGCCATGTATGGTTGCTCACTTGGGTCCGTCTCACTGTATTAGGGGCACAATAATTCATGACTATTCAGAAATGCATTACTTTGTAATCTGGGATAAGGGACTATTTACAAGCATCGGGGTTTTTTTTGTCCGTTAATAAAAAAACCCTAGTTTTCCGCGTTTTGACGCGCTTTTGCTGCGGCACAGCACACGCGCATTCCGCTTTTAAACCCGCATTTTTAATTAATTTTTTTTTGACATTAATTTCGAGTTTTTTTGATTTTTTGAAATTTTTTCCTACACTTTGAAGGTTGTAGAATTTAATGGTAAAGTCCATTTTCCATAAAAATTAATTTGTATTATTAATTATTTTTTTTACTCATTTTTCGAGTAATTGTTTGCGTACATGTATGTCCTTTATTTTTTAGATTTTTTGGGGTTGAAATTCTTCCCTTGATAACTGGAGCTTCTCGCCGGTCGGTTGTCTCTAGGCTTGGGGGGGAGCGCGTTGGTTGAGCCCAAAGGTCCTGTCGGTGTTGGTTTGACGGAAGACTGTTGACCACTTGCTTTCTTGTTTTGGTTTGAGCCGGTGTGTGGGTCCCAGCCGCTTCTCACTCCTCCGATCGCGTATGGGTTTGAGTCACGGAAAGATAACTCGTCGAAGCGTCTTGCTTCGGCGTAAGCGGTGTCGTAAACCTCTTGTCTGAACATGGAAATGTCAGAGAAGGAAGAAACTCCGTTACGCACTACCCTGTGGGCAAAGGCATTTGCTCGGATTCTGATGTCGTAGCGTAGCGCCGTCATGAATCCGTCTTTCCGAAGGATTTTGTCGCAGTTGGCCTTGTGCAGTACGATCCATTCACCTAGAGTTTCGAATTTATAAACATCTCTGATTGTGATGGTAAACTCTTCGTAGTTGAGGCTCCAGTCGCTGTAGTTCATCAGCCATTCACTCGGATAGGGATAGCCAGTGTAGCGGAGTCCTTTTTCCGTCGAGTTGTCGTCGGTCTTGGTTCTTTTCTCAGCATGGTATGAGAGGGCTGCGTCTTGCCATGCCTTGTTGAAAATCGTCAACGGGATTGGTCCCTTGAGCTCGGTGATGTTCTTCTCGAAATATGGCGTGAACCCGACATCTTCATGGGAGTTTTTGTCTCCCCAGTGGAAGTTGGTGCCACCGACTGTGGTGTTCTTCCGGGACCCTTTCACTGGGTGGTCGGTTGTTGCCCCAAACATCGAAATGGATTCCGTGTCTTTAGTGGCAACGGGTCCTCTATGGAACGTGAAGCAAGTTGGGTCGTCAGAGTTGTGCATTAAAGCTTTGAATCTCTTCCTTTAATCTTTTGTTTTAGTTGCTTACCCGGTAACTGCTGCCGCGTATAAGCTGTAGAACATATCGGATCTCGCCTTATCGCCTTCTCCTTCGGCTTCGAGTGCTTTCTCGAGGAATTTGGCTGTCGCTTCATCTCTGAGACGTTCTGCTTTGTTCGACTCTGATATAATCTGGATATCATCTTTGTCGTTTACTAGGGACAAGACAGTCGTGATATTGTCAGCGATTTGCCTTCTACTCTATCTTTTTTTTTTTTTTCTTTTTCCACTTACTGTGTTTCGCTCCTAACAAGGTAGCTAGACCGTTCGGTTGGTTGTTTTGTCTTTGGCTGCCATTCGATCCCGTCGGGCCTGACTCTTTAGCGTTGGTGCCATTGGGGTTTGACTTCGACGGTCTACTCCTTTTCTGGCTTTCTCTCGCGTTTGACTTTTCAGTCGTGGTCGCGGTATGGTCTGCGGATGGGGTTACGGATTGATTGGGATTTTGGGTGTTTGTGTTTTTGGAAGGGTTGTTGATAGGGTCTGGTAAGGTAGGGTTGGGGACGAGTAAAGTAGAAGATGGTGTAGCGGTGGAGTCTATGGAGGGGTTTGAGCTTTGCTCGTTGGCGGGGGTTGGTTGTACGTCATTGGTACCGGGTGTGTTGGCATCTCTCATTTGGGTAGAAAGATTGACTAAGTTATTAGGCATAATGAATATCTTGAGTAGTTAAATTCAAAGAAAATCTAGGACCGATAATTCTAGGCGTCGGCAGGCTAGGAAAAGGGGAGGGGGATGGGATAAGGAGGGACGGGGTAGCGGCTTGGTAGGAGGAAGAGCCTGGGGGCACGATCCGAGGAGGGAGAGACCGGTGCTATTAAGCCGTAGCTTCTGACGACTCGCTGTCTCCTTTGGCCTTCGATAACGGGTCTGTATTCGATCCGCCGACATCTCCTCCGTCTACGGAGATACGGTCGAGGACGATTGAATCTCGCTAGCTCAGCCACTAGCTTGTTACCCAAGCCACCTTGTGGATACAGTGTATATCTCGGCCGGAACTAACCGGTTCCTTGGACGACACCCAACTCCCACTCCGTTCCCGTTAACATAACATGATGAGAACCTGGTGTACACAGGCAGAGCAATCCGACCTTTGCTACTCTTTCTTCGTCTATAAAAGGAAGCGTCGAGCTGACTAGATTGTTAGGATAGACAAGACAATCTACATAGCATCTGCTTTACTTCCATTCTTTGCTCAACATACAGCCTATTATTTGACTTGGCCAAATACAGCTTCTTCAGCCAGCCCTTCTTTTCATATCTGCAGTGACATAAATATTTCTCATCGCCAAACCAATTGATCAATCAAGCTCTTCCAAGCTCGACATGGCATTCTTCAACTTGCGCAGTAGCACCGCTCTGTTGGCTACCGTCTTATTGATCATGCTCAGCTCCCCAAGCCAAGCGGCGAACATTCCGCTCGAGCGAAGACAAGATCAGTGCAATCCCACCAATAACAGTCTCAACGCCCATGATTGTGCTGTGTGAGTGATTTGATCACACAATCCATGCTCTTTATGCCAACTCTATTCATACTGAAATTTTCCCGATGATTATGACAACTAGTGCTTTCTATCAACTCAACTTCCAAGGCAAAAACAAAGTTCTCAGAGGTCCAGGGGCTGTTGTTAGTGCTTCTGGAACGTGCCGGGTATGTGCATTTTTCTATCACCCAGGAAGCACGTCTTGATTGATCCAAATGCAATGAATTGATTCAAAATGTTCACTTGATGTAGGTCGTTGTTGACTGTCCGGGCGGAGTCGAAGTGTAAGTGATTCTTGCAGGCTTTCAATCGCAAATTTTTGCTCAACATTGATCTCAAATAAACTCTTTACAAAACAGCTCTGCCGGTCGACTCCTAGACAAGGATGGAACCAATGGCTTTGACCAACTCCAGAAGCTATGTACCAACCAGGTGAGGCTTGATGGAGTAGCTAACCTGGGGATATTGTGAGACCATTGACAGTTTGTCTAACATGATTCTTTTTATGCTTGCTCAACAGGGACAAGCCGGGCAACTGTTTGTCAAAGGGTACTGCCAAATCAGGACCGAAAAAGTTCAATGAAGCATTGAGAAGCTTTACAGACACTGCTTAAATCACAGACACTATCAATACACATCCCTCCTTCCTGGCCAATCATTTTTTTGCAATTGCCTTGTTTTCAATTCATCTTGATCAGTATTACAATCTAGAGACTGATGCTTTGTATGTAAAAAATAAAGCATAAACCTGACAATTCGCGATGTCCATGAAAGAAATGACATGGCATTCATTTTTAGTCTAAGCCATCTGCTAAATTCACATTGCGGGAATGAATTGGAACATTGGTATAGATGTGCGGTGGCATGAATCAGGAGTACAGATATGAAGAATCTGCATCAAAAATGGATGTAGATCCTAAACAAGTTGCACAGGTTTGATTTTGTTGGGAAGGAGGAAACATCCAAAGCATTTCCAATAAATTAAAGTGGAGGAATCTAAGATACTATCCTTTCAGTTGCTAATTTAAATCAGATGAACAGCTATCAAGCTCTATCTCACTCACTGCCAAAGCAATTGTGTCAGATAGCTGTATCTGTGATTATATCAGATATCTTCATGTGATGTTACATCAGTTGGAGTGCCTGATTTAATATACAGAAGTTGAATCAGAGACTTCAACTGATTTAAAATCACACAAAAATATCTGATGTGATCACAGATACAGCTATCTGATGCAATTTTGGTGTATGTGCAGCAAAGAAATTGTGTCAGGTGGCTGTATCTGTGATTATATCAAATATTTATGTGTGATGTTACATCAGTTCAGATGTCTGATTTAATGTTTGGAAATTACATCAGAACTTTGAACTGATGTAATATCACATGGAAATATCTGATACAAGCACAGATAAAGCTATCTGATGCAATTGCTTTTGCAGTGACTTGCCTACTTCAATCAACTCATCAACTCTCAGACTCATCCTAAAATATAAATGCTCTCTTTCTTTTGAATCACATAACATAGTCATGTTTTACCTTTATCTCACTCCTTCTGCTCATTCAGCAACCATCAAACATTATGAGCCTTAGTCATTCCTGGTGCAATTTGACATCCAATCTCATCTCATTGCTAACACCTTCCCAACTTTTGATCTGTTTTACTGTTCAACTCTCTAGGCCTTGATGTAGCTTTCGATGTGATATTAGATCCCTTACTAAACTGGTCCGAGTGAAGAGCCAGTGTACATATAACTCACATAGATAAAACATGTTTATTTCCTTGGTGGGTGAAAGAGGAAGAAAGTGATTGAGAGAATGAAGAAGGAATTAACAATCGACAGAAACAATGTAGGATAGAAAGCATCAAATCCAAAGTGCATATATATGTATCCAGCTCATTCATCCATCTTGTTCAATGTGCTGAGCATAAACTAGTATGCTGCATCCAAAAAAAAAATGAAGGAAGGGGTCGACTTAATTTTACAATAGGGTCACTCGGTCGTTGCTTCTTTCGTCTTATTCTTCTTATTCTTCTTACTCTTTTTAATTTCTTTTCCATTTACCATGGGTGTTGATGGCCCCGTAGCTTGCGTGTCTCCGACAAGTGGTTCCGCTTCTGCCATGTTGGTGGACGGCGCTTTTTTCCGCTTTAGCCCGTTCGGTTGGTCGAGTGGTTTTTTTGCTTCTGGAGTTGTTGGCTTCTCAAGGAACTGAACGAGTCCTTTCATGAGCTTTGTGATCATGGTGGATTGAGGTGTCGAAGGAATTTTGGTGGCAAATTCAGTCAACGCTTTGATGTCTTTCGCAGGCCATATTTTTGAACTGCTTGTTTCACTCGAGTCGATCTTTAGGCGCTTGCGGAGTGCACTGTTCATGATTTTGATTAAATCCGATAAACTCTTGAGTGCCGCCTTCCCCTCCTTTGAGACTTCTTCTTCAGAGTTGCCAGTAGCAATGACGCCCTGAAGTGAAAGAAGGGCCTCTTTGAGCTTACACGCATAGGCGTCAAGCTCTTGAATTGATTCCGGAGCAGGTTGATTCTGGCAGGCCGGGAATGGAATGAGCTTAGTCAAGTGATAGCTCGCGAGGCGATCTCATAAAAAGCCTTTGAATCGGACTCACCTTGGGGGGATATCTGTTAATGAGAATGGAAACTAGATCCAACATTTGCTCGCGGCGGTAAGTGTTCACAGTAGACGAGTCAAGAGATAGAGCAAGGGCGTCATGCCTCAATAGCCAACTGAAGGCTGGGAAGCGTTTGAAAATCACAGAAAAGAAGGTCGGACGAAGTTTGGACGATCTTTTGGAGCAAAAGTTTTTCAACCCCTCTTGGTGAGTTTGAACCAGTATGCTAAGCGCTTCTTGACGTTCAGATTCAACAACGAAGGACTCGGTGCTAGATTGTATCATTTCGATTAACCACAAATTACATTTCGCACACGATTCCGCGGTGTCCACTGCAGGCGTAGTCCGCGCGACCAGATGTACTGCTGTGATGATCTCGGATGCTTCTGCAGCCGATAGGGGCTGGCCCGCTATACTTCGCTCTGATTGACTACAAGACAGTCGCGTGGTATCTTCCAGAATCTTTACGACTTTCTTTTTCATCATCACCTCACTGGAGTTAATTTTACCAATGAGCTCTAGCAGGGGCTTGATCAAGCGAGCGCGTGTTGCTGGTGCTGGATGAAGTTTGACAAATTTTCCAATGAGCTCCAAAATTTTCATGCGGAGGTGAAGATCTTGAGTATTGTGCACTATCGAGAAAATTGATAACATTAGCTTTTTGGAACGTCATGCATATGTGAATCTAATGCGTGGACCTACTTCGAGCTAATTTTTTGCCGGTACGTCGCTTGAAGATGGCGGCCAAGTTTGCGTCTAAAGCAAGCATCTCATCGTCGTTCATCAAGTCGGATTCGTCGCCAGAATCATCATCGGAGGCGTCTGGTTTACTCAATGCATGACCAAGAGCCATGGCGACATCGTTTCTGAATTGCTCATCAACCGATCCATCATCGCTAAAAGTTTCCCCATCCGTGTCGGAATCTTCTTCACCACTGGAGCCACCTGCCGCCGAGTCTTCGTTGTCTTGCGGGGAATCTGAGTCGTCGCCCTCGGGATCTTCAGCTTCAGACAGGTTTTCTGGTGGGTTGATTTGCTATAGAAAAAGCGATGATAATCGTCAGTAGCTTGAAAAGGAAATTGATGTTTATGGAAGCTCACGTCAATGAGTAGCTGAAGACTCTGGGCACCGATGCAATCGGAGAACGCATCAAAGTTGATTTCGACAATCAGCCTCAAAAGGGCAATCGGCCATGAGAGTAAAAACAAGAGACATTCTGTAAGATTCGCCACTGCTGGCGCCAAGCTTTGCGAATGATGGAGCACATCAAATTCACCACCGGAAGGTAAGAGCGTATTGACATCTTTTTTCAATTTCTGCAGGGGATGAAGATTATGAAGATCAGATACCCATGTGGTTTAACGGGGTTAGCGCAAAGTTAGATACACACCTCGATTAGCGCTAATGCTTCAGTCCACCCATCTTGCTCATCATAAGTCATCAGATACAGAATATCGCAAAGGAGTACGAGTGCATCTTTTTTGTTTTGAAGTTTAGGTGGTTCTGTGTTCGCTGCTCGGCTTCGCAACTTAGTTAAATTCTTGCGTATCGATTTGATACATTCCGAGGTTTCGAGTCCTTCCTCTGGCTTGGCACTTACACGAGAATTGAAAATCTCGAGAATCACTTCAGAAGGCCTGAAGCCATGCAATGGGTTATTTGTTTGCGTCGTTTTCGGTTGTGATTTTTTGTCAAAGAAGTGAACCCTGGTGCGATCGACCAAGTCCAACAGGCAGGTGTACAGTCGAGCCTTGCAAAGTTCTTGTAGATGGGGAGAGAATGGTACGACGGGCACAAGACTTCGTGCTGATGACTGCTTATTTTGGTCGCATGAAATTTCTCCAAAAAACGCACAAAGGGTAAGGCAACGAAGAATCGAGGAGGCACAATCAATTGTACAGGCTGGAGTGTTCATGTTGATGACGTTGCAAAGCTGGGTGAGCATCATCTCACGGAAGTTTTCGGGTGAATGTTGCGATTGGTGTGCTTCACTCGAAGAATCCACGTGAGGGCAAGGCCATATGGGCGAGCCTTTCTGAAACGAAGAGATGAGCTCTTGTGTCCACAGCTCCAGCTCTGGAGAGAGCATCCGAGAAACCAAAGATCGGGTCAACTTTTGATGACTGTTGTGATCGAAGTTAGGAGAAAGGGTTATGATGCGAGATGCAAAGCCTTTTGCAAGAGCTGATTGTTTTGCGTTCTTTTGATCAACTTGCGAGATCAAATTAGATGCGACAGATTGCGCCATCTTGTGGAGCAAGCGATCTGTGGCGGCCAGCTGCACCTGTAGGGTGTGGACACAATTCAAGGTGAGAAAATTCGGCTTCTCTTGGTCCGAAATGAACTTTGATTTGAGAAGGTTGTTGAGAATAAGGAATCCGTGTGATCTACGAGAAGGGCTGGATTTGGTGGCGAAATAGTAGCGTTCAAAGAGGTGATTATAGAATTTTGACAAGTTGAAATCGCTAGTCGACTGAGAGGCGGAGATGAGGATTGAGTGAACGAAATGAGGGCATATGGGTAGGTCTGTGTGAATCGTTGACATTTTCGAATCTGCTTCACCTGCTCCTGCATTGGTCAGCTGTGATGATGGTACGCCATCAGCGTTCATCAAGATACTGCACAATTTTTCATGGTTATCTTCGCTGAGAATCTGCTTATTTGTAAAAGTCTTCGACAATATTGATTCCCAATTGAGTTTAATAGAATGCTGCTGAAGTAATATGGCCAACGATAATTGTTCCAACGTCAATGTCTCGGCATTCATGAGTAGCATTTCAGCAATTTGATTCAAGGCGCCAGACTGAGAAAGAGCCGACTCAGGATGTTCCAAAATTTGGGTAGTAATGTCCGAGACGAGTACCGAGCCGACGCTTTCTGAGAGCCATGGGGCTCGACGAGCAAGAGCACAAAGTTCTTCGAGCAGCCGTTTCAAGAGAGCCATCTGCTCATTGGCGTTTGTTGATTCCGGAGTCCCCTGAGACGTTTCAAGCGGCCGGAAAAGTGCGCCCGACTGTGTGATGCATTTTATTCCAAATAATCTCCCAAACTGGGAGTCACGTTCTTCGCTGGCCTTCATGCCGCTCTGCAAGGGGGTGGCCGATAAGATTAAGTCGAATATTGATTGAGGGGACAGTTGTGGAAATCTGTTGATAATCTTGGGAACAGTAAGACCAGATCGATTTTAGCTCCAGTAGAAAATTCTAACAGGGATAGTATCAGATTTGAAAACGGTACTTACTTCACATAAAGCAATTGAGAATCCAAGACGAGCTCCGGGAGTTGGGCTTGCTAGTCCACGCACGAGCCGCTTGAGCGTATAGTTCAAGTCCTGCGAATTGGAGCAATCATTCTGTTGGGAATCCAAATCATGTGGGGCCGATTCGACTTGAGTAAGGTGGTAAACGATCGAAGTAGCAGCCGAGACTCGCTCGTCTATATTCGAGCTGGACAGGCTGCTGAACAAGGACATAATTTGGGCGGACATCGTCAGCTTGGGGGATGACTTGAGCTAGACGGATACGAGCACTATCGATTGCTTGAGGGGCAAAGTAACCTGTTGACCAGGCGGGAGTTGCTTGCTGTATTCGATTTTCCAGGTGGCAGCCAACTTGTGGGTGATCACCACCCTCGGGGGCCGGGGGAAGGGACCCGGACGCAACATGCATGCATGGAGCAAGTCTGTGGTAAATCCCCGGTGGCAACTCAAGCTTGAATCTTGCGGACTTTGGCACAATGTAATGAAAAATTCCAGACATTTGACAAAATTCATATGTAGGTTGGGTGGAAGGGGACAGCAAGGTAATTCATACCCACTGCAAAAACCAACTGCTCGGCCATCCTTCCCGACTGGACCTGGCAAGGGGATTGGGACATGCTGTTTGAGCAGTCAATTTCTGCAGTGACCAGCCAATTTTTGGCATATGATTTTTTTCCCCAAAATTTCATGCAATTTACATTTACCAACAAGGAGGGCAGCTGCCTGGGTTCTTTTGGCACTGGTGCTAGCTGCTGAATTGAGTTCAAGAACTCATGTGAAATGCCCATCTGACACTTTTCAAGGATGGCATCTGGTAAACAGTTTTCCTAATCTGTCCAAATTTACTGTTAAGAACCTGAGCAATGATTTTAAACTTTGAATGTGCATCAGCAATGCATGGCCAATACCAGGTCCCACAAGAATAGTCCTCTCTTTTCATATTGATCTTGCTCCCTCCATTGATGCTCTCCCAATGCATTAGCCCTTTTCACATAGGGGGATGTTACTCTCTGATGTGGGTGTGTGATATTGTTTACTGATGAATAAATTTGGCCTGACACACACCCAAACTTTAACCCATAACTTAACCCATAGATCTACTGACTGCCCATAAGTTTTTACTGATATTGGGCCTATGTAAAACCCCTATTACAGGGGCCCATCCACCCTGCAACCAGTTGCTTTGTATGGATTTTGTTCTCCAGTTTTCACTAAAATTTTATGCCTAGGAAAGAAAAATGTTGATCGGATAGATATCGAGCATTGAGGAGGGCTCATGTACAGTGGCAATGGGTTGACAGAAACATCCATACCCCTGCTTACTTATTTTTGGGGGTTGTAATTATTCTTTTTGGAAGGTTTTTTTAGGGGAATTTTGACAAAGAGGGCAAGGAAAGATAATGACAGGGTTGAAAAACCTTCATTGCAGCACAAAAAAAATCAAAAAAGACAAAATCATCATTTTTTTCAATATTGGAGGGAAGTATAAGGGATAAATTGGAGGTAGACTTGAGAGCTTGAAGGTAATGATGAAGGAAGAAACAATGGAAAAATAATCATGAACATTTTTTTACTTGGAGGATTGTCAATGACTGGTTCAAATTGAAGTTTGAGTCAGTCATCACTTGTCAATTACAGACCTGCACGTGATGGTGATGTTTCAGTGAATTTTTGATTGTTAAGTCATCCAGATAGGTTTTTTGTGAGGTGATTTTGGCAGAAAAGTTGATGGTCAACTGATGACCATCCATGATTAGTGGTCCAGAGAGTAAATTGTACCTGAGTGTCACAGTGGGGTGTCACCAAATTCAAGTCTGGTGTGTAGGGGTACAGTTTTTTCTATCTGCCCACTGTACATACATCCATACTGCTAATTCTTGAAATCAGAAGTCAATCTTTTTTCTTATAAGCCTTCAATTCTGGTTCAATCAGAAAGGGAATATTCCATTACTAATGAAGAATAGGATGCTGTGTCCCACACTAAAATTTAACAGAAGCTCTTACATCATAATTGAACTTTGTAAAAAATTTCATTACATCAGCTTCCCTATCAAGTTTGATACAGCCATCAAACTTCATCATTATTTGGACATCAACTCTAAAAGTTAATTTTGGCTGGTTTTGAAAAATTATTTACCAGACTTTTTTATTTTTGGCATTGTTGTAACCTCATTAACCCATAATATCTGCAAGTAAACCAGGTTTCCCAACCTGATCAACTGAGAGGAACTAAGATATCAGACTCAGTACAAGAAAAATATTGTCAACATTATAAATGCAGCAGGGTAATTGAACATATCTTCTTTCTGAAATACATACTAATTCAAAAACCTTTTTTGAAGAACTCTAAATTTCGGTCAGGTTGAAGTATGATTATGAGCTACCTTTTTTCCTCCCATCTTATTCCCATCCTACTCAGCTGTTTCTTTAAATTTTGATTTCTACCTGGATAGAAGTATTCATGTGTGAACTTTGGTGTTATTTTCATGGGATTTGTCATGAAAATTTCAAAGGTTTTTATCAAAACTCATGAGGTTTCAGACCTCTACTTTCACAAAAATTGTAAAATTGTTTATATAAATGTGCCAAGAATTGACCTACACTACCAACACAATTGGCTGGGTTGAGATTATCCCAGTTGAACTAGGATGAATTACAAATTCCAGGGGAGTACCTTGAATTTATATTTCATTGGTTGAAATCAACCAACTTTAAATTGGTTGACATCCCAGTTCAACTAGGACAAACTCAACACATCCAATTATGCTGGGAGCGCTAAAGCTCAGACATAAACTGGCATATTAGCATTGAAAAATAGTCACAATTAGTGCCTGTAAAGTCAACTTGATGAAAAAGGGATATTTAAAAGAGAAATTTCAACACCTTGCAAGCATGATAGGGCACACTCCCAAGTCCTGCATGGCTGAGTGCCACCGGGAATTTGGTATGTGCCCAGGGGGCTTGATCAGGACATCTGAGTGTGAGGCAGATCTTGGAAAATAGCCATCTCTTGTTGGGTCAATCAATACCTCCATTTTACAGCCCATTCATTGGGTTGAAATATTGGTGAAACTCATGTGGAAATCTCTGTGAAACTAAATCACACAGCCTGTGGTCCGGTGACTGCAAGGAGACTCACAATCAAAGTTGTACCAACAGTTGGTGCTCAAGTCTCAAAAAAAATCAACACTTGCTGTTCATCTCATCTCTCTTCTCATCAACCTCTTCAAGATTTGCTTGCTTGATCAAGCTCATCTACATCAAGGCTCACCACTACTCACTCAAACTTGCTTAACTCTCTTCAATTATTACGCTTGCCAACACTGGATCAAGTTTCCAGTTAAATTCTCCCCCAACTTACTCTGAGTCTCAACTCACACATACACTCTCTCTCCTGTCTCTAGTCTCCATTGATGTTTATATCTGCTCTAGATCTTTTGCTCTAAAAGCACTCTCTACTCTTTTCTGTTCTGTTTGTTCACATTTATGTTTGTTCACATTTCTCTTTGTGATTTTTCTTGTTGCTTGTTTCACCTTCTCTTTCTTTGTTTGATGAGTAAAAACTGAAGTTCTTTTTTATTTTGTTCTTTTCCATTCCTGGTGCTCTCTTTTCAGACACTTGCTCACTCTCAACTTGCTCTTCTTTCCACTTTCTCCTATCATCAGAGTGTCTCAGTTTCTCCTTTTTGTTTCTTCTTTTTAGTCTGGTTTTTGTTTCCTAGCAATTTCATCATTATGTAATCACATTGAAACATCACATTACTCAATCACTGATTTATGAACAAGCCTTTGGTAAAGCTGCATAAAAAGGCTGCTTGATTTCAGGAAAAAACCAAGCTGTTGAGAACATGAGGTTTACATCTTGATCCTTGGTACACAAACTGGTCATCAAGGAGGTAAAATTCCATGCTTGACCGTTGTAAGACTCAAAAAGTGGTTGTAAGACCCTTTTTGCTGAATGGAGAAGGGGATGATGGAGTGAAGACTCTGCCCTTCTATACTATCAGATAACAAGACCCACCAAGCTTAGCTTGGAAAGTTTTAATCAAGTGATAGGGTAAAAGTTCAGGAATGAGTTTGTGTGATGAAGAGTTGTTGATGTGGTTTTGGTTGGCGCTTTAAAGTGTTTGTGTAAGGTGGTCAAATATTGCTTGAGTGTTACTTGACTGAGGATTAAACAACTGGGAGGAGAGCCTCCTTATATATACAACAGTCAGGGAATTTAGCTCCAGGGCAGCCAGTAATGAGTGATTTTGGCTGGCCTGGGCTATTACATGAGGTATTTTAGCTACATACAAAATTTGAATGAGTGAATGTGATTGGTCAGACATGTACAAGAGTTTAAGTGGGAAGCCAAACAGCTGAAAGAGTGATTCTGATTGGTCAGGTTCTGATGTGTTTACAAGTGAGTGTGGTGGTGTAAGCTGCAGCTGTCATGCATGGAAAATACACTAATTTAGGCTGCAGGTATGATGTAATATGTAGAAGTGAAATGTAAAGAGTGTAGATGTATGTAAATGAGTGTATATGTAAATGAGTGTGTCTGTGTAGCTTGAGGGTTGTAATTGGGTTTGGTGATATGTAATGATGGGTGAAATCCTTGTGATATGTTGTCCAGTGTTGGGTAAGAGTTGATCCAGGTGTGTTCCAGTGACGCCTCCGTGGTGACCAAGGGTGAATTTATCTGTAGAGTCCAGTTCTTGAGCCGTATGGTGTGAATTCTGAGAGTGATTAGGTGATAATATGAAGAAATATATATATATAAGAAAAGAAAAGGAAAAAAACTTTGAATTTTCACATTTTTGACTACCACACCGTTGGTAGGTAATCATCCCCTTTTATTTTTGGCACAATTAACAACTTTGAAAAAAGGTGCATTTTTGCATTCAGATGATGATCAGCTTTGGTTATTCAGGTTAACATCAGTTCAAGTATGATAATTTTCCATTATGAAATTGACAATATACAACAGTAGAAACACCTCATAAGTGGATTCAGAATGGCCACATTAATTACTAGAACCTGACATTCAACTCTAGAAGAGCAGAACCAGATGTTTGGAAAAACCAATATACATCATATATTAGCAATTTTATATGTACAACCCCCAAGGGTTAGGGACATGTGGAGTTTTGTTTATGATGGGGCACATTTATAACACATGATAGGATGTCTTAGCAGGGCCTCAAATAGAAGCCAATTAAAAATAAGCAAAATATAGGGGAAAATTATAAAAGAAACAAACAAAACTTTTAGAGAAGACAAGAATATTGATCAGAGGTAGAGGAAAGAGAAAAAGGAACATCATGATTGGGGAGTAAGACAAGTTGAGTAGAGCCTTTATTGATCACGAGGAGATAAAAATTCCCACTTTCACCACATTCACAGCACTCATTCATGGCACTAACACATGAGGCCTGAGTGAACAAGGTTCCCAACTCAACCCTTGACTGGATGTGGCTCTCCCACCAGATATTTTGTGAGTCAAGGGTTTGAAAAAATTCTGCCTAAAAATTCAACCAGGACTCCAACAAGCCCTAGAATTCCAAACTTAGGCAAATTTCAGACCACAAGGGGACAGCTAGTTTGCAGCCAATCAATACCCCTTTCATGAGTATGTTCAGGCTGAAATCTCCAAATCAGGAGAATGCTAGTAGAGCATTTTGTTTGGCACCCAAATTAAGGTTTACATGCTTTGATTTGAAATTGAACCAGCTCTGCATACACAAAATGGAGTCTTTCACAAGTGAAATTTTGATCATACCTCTCTTAAGAGTAGGATTTTGGCATGAATGGCCAATTCATACATGTTTTAAGAATAGCATTTTGACACCTTTTCAATTTCATACAGTGAACTCCCTCTTAACCCATGACCTATTAGCCCATAACCCATCTTAACCCATAAATTTTCCTTTGAAATTGATTCACCAAAATGGGCAAAATGCCTAAGAACTTGACTTATCAACTCATACTTTCCCTTAACTCATAGCAAAACATGCCCACCAGCTATTCAACTTTACAACAGAGCGCGAACAACTTTTGGGGTGAGCCCTGGTGAGCCTCTTGTTGCAGACTTCGTTTCCGAAGAGGCTTGTTGTGCTAACAGCTGGACTTGGAGGCGCGGTCCACGCACTAGAAGATGTTCCGACAGTATTTGAGGGTGTATGCTTGTAGTGATAGGGACAAGCGACCATTGTCAGGCTTTCTTTCAGTAGTCAATATGGAAGACAACAAAATGGCGGGTCTGCAAGCCTAGCATTCGTATTTACAGATGGTAACCCTTCACTTTCAATCATACATCAAAGGACCTAGAAGCCTAGCGTTACCTTACATAGACATGGTGGGCTGTGGCTTAATGGTTCCTCAGCACCAAGCAAGACTAGCTCAGCATCCAAGTCACCATCCCGGCTGTCGCCCGGCAGTGCCAGTAGTTTGCAAGAAACTTGTCTATAAATAGCGGAGGAGGTCCATGGTCAGTGTTCCTATCCCACATCCACCTCTCGCTATCATTCCATTGTTAGATTTCTTCCAGTTGCGGGTCATCTTTTACAAATTCTCCAGTAAACACCTTTCATCAGCTCCACTTCTGCTACAAGATGCTAGTCTACAAAATGCAACAGGCTCTCTTAATGGCCATCTTTCTTTTCGCTAGCGTTTCTCTTGCGGTCGGCCCAGTCCCAGGGATGGGGTCAGTCGTGGAAGAAAGAAACGGCGCTAACACCAACTCTGGTGCAGCCGGCGGCGCTCCCAAACGGATCTTCGATTTCACCTTAACACCCAACATGAAAACTGCCGACCTTGATAACCCACAATCGGCCTTGAGCAAACTGATTGCCTACATTGTCAAAAGCGCTGCGAAGGCATCGACATATGTCTCAATCCTCCACCCAAGCAACGCGGCCTCGCAAATCCAGCTGGCGATCCGCGACGATTCCATCTTTATTCCAGGTGGCAACCCCGCCAATGCTCAGCACGGTTTCAGGTAAACATAGTTCCTCTTTTCCTGTTCTCTGCACATTTATTGATACATTTATCTCCCCATCCCTGCTCACAGGCGAACTGATGTCAATCCTGCTATTGACAAAGCTACCACTCTCACTGGTATCACAACTTGGTATCAGGTACGTGTTGCCCCTTGTCACAACTCGAGCGCGCGATGACTGACCCAGCACTTGCCCATTCGTAGACCATTCGATTGGACTCCAAAGCACCACTCGTACTTACCCATGGATACTTATTTGCTAGCATTGAAGTACCTGTAAGTGCTCATTTTTGATATCCCTCTTGAAAACGCGCGAAGTTAATTTTGTTGTCTCTCTTTCCAACTTACAGTCTGGTAAGACTACGCGTCATTTCATTAGAGGATACTATCAGTGATGCTAACCTTCATCCAAACCAGGTGACCACATTTTCGACATCTTCGGCGGGTCAAATTTCGATCCTCAAAACACCGACCACAAGCCCACCAGCAACAGCCAAACAATCAGGGTGCGAGACTTCAACACCAAGACCCTACTATCGCTCCCTCTGAAGTACGATCAAGACTATAACTTTGCCGTCACCGTTGACTGGACTCAAAAGTGAGTCTGAAGTAGTCGATTAAATGTAGCTTATGTACCTCCACACAACATTTATTGACAATATTTTGTGTGTGAAACCCCCTCTTCTTCAATTTGTAGTACGCTCACAGTCTACTCATCCATCGGCAATCAGCCATTACAAAAGGCCGGAGGTCCCTTCCCCAATGACCCTAAGGCAATGTCCCCGGAGTTCAAGCAAAAGGGAGAATACCACATTCAATTGATTAAATTGTGAGTCTGGTGTTCATCACTGTTTCTTCAGGTCGTGCCTAACCGCTTCTCAACAAACAGCACATATGAAGTGTGACAAAATGGCATTGATTGACTGACTGGACTATCCCCGAACATCTCTCATGATAAACAGCCCTCTCGCTGATGCCAAGGTCCCAGTTGCCAAACGCCTCGACACACCCCACTTCGGTTTCCAAGTAAGCCCCTGGGTCCATGTCTCTGATCCTGACGAGAACATAAATATGTTGCTTTATTGCTGTCGACTGATTGCCCGATTCTTCCATCACGCTGTTTGTTAGGAACCTATCAAGCAAGAACATGTTACTTTCTCGAACGTCTACGCCACCGCGGGCAAAGAGATCGAGCAACCGAAATTTAGCGGCTCGAAAAGCAAGAAAATCAAGCGCAGTGACTGAACATGTTAATTCTGTACCTCCTGTTCAGCAATTCTTGTAATTTGTCTTACCTTTCTCTTAGAAATCCTCTTGTTGTACATATCAAAGAAATGCCTGCGCCCGCAATCGTCGAAATTGTTCGAACTTGTAGATTGTTTGTGCCAGTGCGAAGCATTCAAGTTTGTAACCAAAGCACAGTCTGCCACATATTAGTGATCACTTGAGATGATGATACATGCACGAAGCTTTCCCCTCGATGTTAGAAATATCCCCTCAATTTGTAGAAGGCTGGCTTGCCGACTGTGTTGCTGCTATGCGAAGACTTTTTTTTGAATCGTTCGGGATGGGGTCAGAATCGCGACTCGCAATGCGACACCCGGCCGAATGAGTTCACAAACTAGCAGACACCAGTGAGACGCGATTGCCATCACATCACTAGAGCTCGGCCCGAAGTCATGACGACTCATCCTCAAGACTTGTGTTCGGTCACCACAACACTCGACAGAAGCCCCCATAACCAGCTTGAATATCTTGTCTGAAGTGATCGATGGATCGGGACCATGTGAAATCGTGGAGGCCAACTGACACCGGCCACGATGGGGCTGGTCAACCCATCCCCTGCTGGGGAGTTGACAAGATGCGTAAGAGCGCGTCGAACTTGTGAAGAAGAAGGCTAGATACCGGACCCGGCTCACTTTCGAGGCATCGGTAGTTCTGCCAACAAAGGGTTTGTCATCTTGTTCGACCGACGGAAGCTTCTGATCAACGAGCACGCCGACCGAGGCTGGAAGAGCAAGTCGACCGAGGCTCTGCCTGCAATCGTCTTTCCAATATAAAGCGGTGTTGGTGTGAAGCTTTGAGACCCACATTCCACTCTCTAGACAATTATTCTAAGCGGCAGTTTCATCCTCAAGCTCCACCGAAGCTTACAATCCATTCATTTTCAAATTCTTACGTTTGAGGTAGCCTATCATAAACAGACGCTATTCGAACCTTTGAGCTCGCACAACAGTGACATATATAACTCCAAGCGAGTCCTTCATTAACCACACCATTCCTTTATCCAGCACAAGCATGACGCCGCCCAACTTCCGTTACATCATTCTGGCCACCGTTTTTGCAATGTTCCTCAATCTCACTAACCAAGTGGCTGGTGCAACTCTCGAGCGTCGATTGGCGAAAGGGGAATTACAGCCTCTGTGTGATCCAGATAGCACCCTAGTCACGCCTAACGATTGCGATGTGTAAGCAATTTGACTTTTCATTTTCATCCTTTTAATATGACCGATCCAAGGCAGGTTATGTTTCAGTTTGACTGAACTTATGGTCGCTTGAAAATCAGTGCTGTCTTGACCTTGCCTTTTACGAACAAGAGGAGTATCTTGTCCACCCAAACGACTGTTGTTTCCGTCTTCAGATCATGCAAAGTATGTATCACTCCCAGGTATATCAGACTGCTTGGGAGATCATTTACTAAATTCTTCCAATTATTGATTGGATTGATCGGTGTAGGTTTATGTTTTTTGCGACCAAAAAGCCCAAACGTAAGCAGCTTCTTACCATATCGAGTCTAAAACCCACATTTTTGGGAATTAACATTGTTTGAATCTTTTGATTTGAGGACCACCAGGACTAGTATGGCACTTATGAGTAATAACCTGCAAAATGGAGGCTACACCCGACTCCTTAACGAGTGTGGGCATCAAGTAAGCCTTCGTCAAGTGTCTCCTAAATAACACCAAAGTGGCTGAATTGGATGTTCATTCTGCGTTTTTGTCTGACAGAAAAAGTCTGGCGTGATCTTTTTTGATACAAAGTGCTCCATTCGCACGACCAGCGCTTGATCTCGGCTTGAAAAAAGAATCGTGCCTTTCAATGTTCATCCTGACACTCTTTCAGAACCAACAGACGCTGCATACTCCTTGATCACCAGTAACCCTTTTGTTGATTGACGATCTGTAAATAATTTTTTTCGGCTGCCGTTTGCGAGCATTGTGGTGTGAGGAAACTTGCTCCTCAACGCTTTCAAAAACAAGGCCTTCGCATGATTTAAAAACCAAGGCACACGGACAGCCCAAGAGACCGGATAGTCCATCTGTTACGCTTAGTCTTATTGCGTTGTAGGGGAGTCGAACCCCTGACGAGGCCACATGCCGATGGCAAGGCCCCAGTTTACCGCTAGCCTAACAACGCTATGTGGAATGACGTCATCAAGCGCCTAAGAATTGCCAGAGCTTCCGGACTCCATTTGTTATGAGAAGAAAATATGAGAAGTGTGCAATTCTATCATTGAGTTGAACTTCGATTCAGGAAGAAATGGGCCATAACTCTCTTCTTCTGATAAGATTGAATCAGTATGCAATAAACCTCGAGATGTGCTTGATTTCGGTTTTGGAACTTGAAGATACGCAGGTGTTTGCATCGAGTGTGCAAGGGTGACCATGCAACTGAAATCGGTTGGCCTTATGACCGGAACAAGTGATCTTTCATAAGAGTGTCGGTTTTGGCAGCAGGAATTATTGGAAAAATGTTATGTAATGTGCGAAGAACACCTGGGAGAAGAATGAGTGGGGGTGGGTGAACATTGCAGCCAGTGATCCACAAACAATATGCGCTGCCGATGAGGGTGTTGTGGATGGATGGTCAAATATGCGTTGAGGTTATCGCCTTCGGGGGATCCATCATATTTATTTGTGTAAATATGTATGTAATCGGTATCGGCAGAGGGGGGAAGCAGGGGAAAGGGCCTCAGCGTCGGCAACAACTACCCCAAACAAATCTATATCAACACCACCGGAGCCCAGACAGAATGCTAGCAAATCTGCGTACGAGGAGCAGTCCATCCCGATTGGTCTGTATCGTTGCTCGAGCTTCCCATCAACGGTCCTACAGTACGCAACAGCCAAACCCGCGCCATCCTCACCAGTCGCCGTTGAAGGGCATCAGGGTCTTGGATCTCTCCCGAATCCTTGCCGGTCCTTCGGCAGCTCAACTGTTAGGTTTGTAAAACTATTCGGATCTAATTCTTAATCCATCCAGGTCATGGTGGAACAAGCTTCACGTTTGATCATTTTCACTGATCCTTCTGATTGATTGTTTTGAGGATTCTCACTACAATATAGGTGACTTGGGGTGAGCTCGATTCCCCATCCTTGATGAAGTTGATGTATTTATGTGTACGATTTCCCGACCTTGAGAATACAGAGCAGATGTGATCAAGATTGAAGAGCCTGGTCGAGGGGACGATACGCGATGGTTGCAGACTCAATACGAACAACAGCAGGACCCTCAAGTCTTCAAACCTTCCTCGACCCTGTCTAACTATTTCCTCTCTTGTAATCGGAATAAGAGGTCGTTAACTCTGAATCTCAAAAAACCAGATGGGGCTCAGATCCTCAAGAAATTAGTTGCGAAGAGTGATGTCTTGTGAGTATGCTCGACTACCAATTCAAAATTGGTTTTCATATATGCTTGAAAAGCTGATTGTCCTTACAAATCCTAGAATTGAAAACTTTATAGTAGGTAAAAGAGGACACGCACAACAAGCATTCAGTTAAGAGGAGATTGGGAGATGCTTATAATGAAATCTTTAAAACTTCCAAAAATGAACGATCAGGTAAGATGGAAGAACTCGGTCTAGGATACGACACCTTGCGAGAAATAAACCCCAAATTAATCTACTCCAGCATTTCGGGATATGGCACGACGGGGCCGAAGGCAAAAGCAGCAGGTTATGACGTCATTGCGGCGGCTGAGTCAGGCTTCATGTCGATCACTGGCGAGCCGGATGGGCCGCCAATGAAGACCGGAGTAGCGATCTGTGATATCATGACAGGCTTGCATGCGGCCATCGGCATCCTGGCCAGCCTGTATTCCCGCGATGGAGGGCCAGACGGGGCTCGACGGTCGGGTCAGAAGGTCGAAAGCTCCTTGTTTGAGTCGGCCCTCAGTCTCTCGTTCAATGTGGGTTCCAGCTTTTTGAACTCGGGTGAAGAAGCCCAACGGTGGGGTACTTCACATCCATCAATTGGTAGGTACTCTGCTTTCATGGTGCAGGCTAGGCCAAGAGTCTTACCCCCCATCCAGTTCCTTATCAAGCCTTTGAAGCTCAAGATGGTTATATGATCATTGGCACCACAAACAACAGACAGTTGAGTGTTTTTGTACCCATGGGCAAACGTGGAAGCTCGGAGACAGCGATTAATGGCAACTGATGACCTGCTATACACCACTACCAGGTTTGAGAAGCTGTGCAAGACATTGGAGCTTGAAGAGTTGAAACTTGATTCCAGATTTGGAACGAATTCGCAGCGAGTGAAGAACCGAGTCGAGCTGATCGAAATTCTGGGTGAGAGGCTCAAGTCTCGGCCAGCTTCTGAGTGGGTGGAGAAGTTGAACGACTTGGGTTTGCCGTGCTCGAGAGTCAATTCGATCCAGGAGGCTTTCCAACAACCTCAGACTCATGCTCGTCAGATGATCCAAGAAATGGATTGTGATCATTCTTCCTCTGGTAAAATTCACCTTATAGGTATGCAGTAAAGCTTCCCCATTCTCTTTTTGAACACAAAGAGCATTCAGAACCCTGTGTTGTTAATTCACAGCGGTCAACAGGTTGATTTATTAACTGTGCTTTCTTGTCTGTTCAGGGACACCAATCAAATTATCTGAGTCGCCTCTAACGATACGATCTGCCCCACCAGCCTTGAGTGAACATACCAAAGAGATCTTAGCCGATCTTGAATATACTGATGAGCAAGTTCACCAACTTGCTAAAGACTCGGTGATTTAAGAAAAGAAAAAATCGCCCATTCTACGTCCAATCACCTTCAAGTTCTGATTGAATGAGCCGACTCCTTGGTTGTATTGTATCTACTTGATTCACCATCTTGTTTTCCTTTTATGAACTGCATCTTCATTTGATTTGATGAAAGCTCCGCGTAGCTTCCCTGTCAGCATTCGAGTTCATGTAGAGGGGATGCAAAATTCAACTTCAAAATGTGTAGATGAACATTGCAAAACAAACCCCTGGAGGGTCCAGAGCACTTGCATTTTTGGATAAAAAAAGTGGGAAGGGTTATTGACCGCAACCATGAACAAAAAATTGGACACAACAGTCATCTCAAACTCAACAAAATTGTATGCCTATTTATGCATGTTAGACTAGCCAAAAACCGATGTTCCTCACATTGACAAACTCATCAAAGGGCGATCAATATTTTTTTTGCGCTAAGGTGCTTGATAACGCAAGTTCACGGGATACGTGGTCAGTTCAACTTCCGCCTCCCATATCAATCCTCCTTGCCCGTAGTGCAACTGCGCGCTTTGGCCTGCTAAGTTCTGGACTGGCGGCGCGTTGGGTCACCTCGGCGGCAATATCACCATATATTATTCAGCCTGGCTAAAAGTCTCTAAGATGAGAAGATGAGTTGCCTTTCGGCAAGCGGTAACTGTGGCTCGTCGGGGAGGACGCCTTCACCGCAAGCGGCAACTGTACCGTACCACAAATCGATGACCTAGAACCAGTTGTTGAGTTACGCATTCAACTAGTATCCGATACCAATTTTGACACCTGAAGCTAGCTGAAGTTAAAAAACGATTTGGGGACATCCTCCTGGTATTATAAATACACGGTTGACCGTAAAGGTGAAACCGACATGACAAAACAACGCCGTACGGGTTGGAGTACATCCTATTAAGCTCTTTGGAACACGGATCCGGTGCTCTGCAGCGGGCCCCGCATCGGGCTATTCCCTTTCGGTTGAGAATCTCCCTGTTTTATGATCCTTTTTCTCGCCTGTAAATCCACATAATCGTTACATGCAGGACAATACACAAAAACTTCCCTTGAGGGGTTTTCTCTAGTGGAAGAGGTGGTATCACTGCCTCGAGTCACACTGATGGGTTAAAGAATCAAATGAAGCTTGAGTGACGACCGGATCCATATAATCTTGGCACCGTTCCTTAGTGCCCATTGTCACTTCTTATCACGACGCCCTGAAATCATAAATGTAAGTAGACGTCTGGCCTCGTGAGCTCGCACTCGAGAGGGCCCTGCTTCCGGGCGCCTGCTTCTCCAGGTTCTATCACGCATCTTGTTAATCCGTTTTGAAAATTCCACTTCCAAGGGCCCAAGATGGATACGAGCTACAGCTATTGCAGCATCCTCGCTTCGGGGGCGAGACGCCGATGCGCTTCTGGCGTCAGGCTGCACCGGGCGCCGGAGAAGACGACCAGGCCTTGGTACCAATAGACCTTGAGGAGGAACTGGTTAGACACCCACTCGCACCGGCTCCGGTTCTTGAGGCTTTGAGGTATGAAAATGGACGGCAAGTGTAAGTGACTTGATTTCTGCTTGCTGAAGTTGAGGGTCACAGGCTAACTAATCATTCATTTACGAACTAACTATTCATTTATGGTGATATCCAACCACTTCCAGAATAATGAGTGCGGATGATGCGACTCGTTTAATTGTATCGGCTCACCCCATATTGCTAAATGATGATGGCAATCCCATCGAGGAGGTGCCCCTGGACGCTATCAACTTCGATCCCCCCAGGGGCGCGCTCTACGATCCGCCAAATGCACCAGCCGAAGACGCCAGCTGGATCTTCGTCTTCGATGATATTGGCATTCGCACTCTGGGCCGATATGTTATCCACTTTTGCCTAATGAGGATGTAAGTCGCTGACCTGAAAACATCCCATCCAACTGCCTTACTATGTAACATATAGCCGATTTTTTTTTTTTTCTTTGTGACCTTTGACAGCCCCCGGGAATGTGAAGAGCCGCCCGAGCAACTGGCTCATGCTACCACTGATGCCTTCGAAGTGGTAGAAGAAGCCCGCTGGCCGCTATTCACGGATTGTAAGTGACACAAATTTTGCATACATCACCCCCCCCCCCCCCAAACAAGCGTGCTTCTTATTGATCAGTTGCTAATGAAATAATTGCCACGACCATGCAGTTTACACTGAGCTAAGTGCGCGTCTTAACCGCGACCACGACCATTTAAATATTTACCGTCCCAGGTACCAAGATCTTCGGTAGCATTCAAGATACTTATGTAACTCTCCCTCAGCTTCCTTCAACTAGAGTGAGGTCCAAAAATGTTATCGGTATAAACATGCCTCTTGTTTCAATTTAGATATACACTTTGCTTTGTCATATCTCCTTCAAGCCCAGTGCACCTAGTTTGTGCCACTCGAGTTAATTTTTTCTTCTTCTTGACCAAATAGAAAACACTCCTTTAACATAGTTCTATAAAAATCTCCTCCTCCTACTCCACACCTCTGGACATCATAGATTTAATCTGACCCTGAGTCACACGTGCAAGCGTACCTTTGGAGCAGAACAGGCGTAATCAGGCTGATCTGGAATACGATGACATTTGGCCAGCTTTCAATTTCGATCGGGCTGCGCCGGGGAAGGCATCACCAGCGCATCAAAGTCGCTCAATGAATGAACCTTGCCATGAGTTATTTGATTTCAATATACCAAAAGTTAGGTTGAGTAGCAAAAGGGGAAGGAAACAGAAACATAAGCGTGGACCAGGATGCTTCATTCATGTGACTCCATTGGAACCACTGCTCCTCGGCAAGCTGCGCTCTGTCTTGATAAGTCATGAGGGAGTTCTAATTTCTGCCTCGGCCAGCGGCAAAGGTTCCACCGGGCCAGCGCACAAGATTCCTCGTCGGCAGCCTCAGAATCGTGATTGCCGATGGAGGATCCCATAAGAAGGTTAAACCACCCCAAGCTTCAAATTCTCCTCATTCTCTATATTTGAGTGAGACGTAGGGTCAAATGAGGACTGTTGATATATTGGAACAAATCTTGCAAAAAAGTCACATAATCATTCCCCAATTAATGAAACTGGATCAACCATATACCAACTTTTGATTGTTTGGGTAAACTGCCATTTTTGATATTTTTTTTTTGCTGAAACATTGGACAAGTCTAAAAAAAAATGACACGATGACAATAATGGTCACGAAATCTTTTAGTGTAAGCTTGTGGATCCTTGGCTCTTGGTTTTTGTTTTTCTGCTTGTTGGATGCTTATCTTATAGCATATTGGAAACTGTGCTGGATACATAGAAGGAATTTATTTTTATGGTATTGTTTTATGGAGCGGATAGGCCCGACTGAGCAATGGGATGTCAAGTGCAAGATCGGCCATGCACTGAGGATAGGTGACATTGAGTTGGCATAGTCGTCACGAGCCCTATGACTTTCTTCGCAAATGACTCACGGGGAATCGTAGTAAGGGGGTGATCACTCGGACAGGATGGCTTTCTGGGCAGTACATAGCAGTTGGAAGCGTCCTTGTTTTGACCGCAGCTTTAAATTAGCGAAGATATAATCAGAATTAGATCCCTAGTGAGTCATGACAAGGCAAGGATAAGTGTTTATGATGGTGAAGCAGTGGTGGCATGAATTTAATAATTTGTTGGTCAACAGCCCCATATCAAATTGGTTGTGGTTGCACAGCGAAAGTCGACGATCGATGACTCGGCTTACTGCAGCACTCTTCCGGACCGGATTCACAGCCACAGCTCGAGGATTGTCGAAGGCTGCTTCAATCCGATCAGTAGCACATCAGAACAGCCATCTCCTCAGTAGAAGGGAAACAAGACCACTACACTCAAGCCCAACGATAAGGTAAGTAGCATCTATGTGTCTTCTCAGCGTGCCCACAGGATATTCAACACTACGTGCTAACACGAGATTCTTTTCTTTTGCTTAAATGGTCAATAGTTTCAAGATGAGAATCGTTCCGGTACCAGTAAGGGAAGACAGTTGAGTTGCCACCATCTCTTACTTGTTGTTAATAATGTGTTTCCTGATGAGTTGTTAAGCCGTGAAACTTAATACGCCTACATAGATTACTCGTACCTGATCATAGACGAGTTGAGTGTCATCTTTCTTGATCTTCCTCATCAATCCTTCCTCGCTTGCTAATATGACTTCTCTGCTCGATCATCAACTCAGAAAAACCAACTCGGCAGCAGTTGTCGATCCGTGTGAACCCAAGGACATCATCAAAGCAGCCAAAGCTGAAAACGTCACGCTTTCGGGCACCATCCTGACCACTCACCACCATGAAGGTTTGTTACTTCGCTCACACCCTCGACGAAAAGAAGCCACCACTAAATTATTCGATGCCACCGATTTATTTTAATTTCCTAAAAAAACAATGTAATTGCTTAAATAATAGACCATTCAGGAGGCAACCTCGAACTCATCTCATTCTTACAAGAAAACGACACATCCAAAGACAAAGTGAAAGTCTATGGAGGCAGCAAGAAGATTCCAGGCTTGACGAACTTGGTCGAACACAAGTCAAATTTCAAATTGGGCTTAGGAGAGAAGGCAGGCGAGAATGATGGGGGTGGGATCGAAGTGAGTTGCTTAGCCACCCCGTGTCATACTGGTGATAGTATTTGCTACTATCTCCAGGACTCTCGTCAGGGTGGACCTGGCTGTGTTTTCACTGGGTCAGTTTCCTTTGGCTCGCTGAATCACTGATAATCTCAAGAAGAAGAAGGCAAAGCCTCAGGATTATTGACTGATCCGTTTTGTACATTATAGTGATACCTTGTTTGTGGCTGGCTGTGGTCGATTCTTCGAAGGTACGCCCGAGGAGATGGACCAAGCGTTGAACCAAAGATTGGCTTCATTACCTGATGAAACGATCACGTATGTTGGACACGAGTTAAGTCTCACATTTCCATCTTTCAATTTAATAAAAACACCGAAATTTGAACTTGAATACAACCGCCCTTTGTCGAATTATTCAGCTAACCCCACGTGTCCTTGATCTGTGGCTGTGCTTGTTGTAGATATACTAAATCCAATGCAGCCTTCGCCAAGTCCATCGAGCCTAAAAATCAGCACCTTCTTAGCTTGATCAAAGCCTGTGAATCGAAAGATTTGGCGGGGATAACAACGGGTAAATACACGATCGGTGACGAAAAGTTGGTCTTTTCTTCTTCACATCTTCGTATAGAACTGATGCTACCCAGCAGAATGAAGACAGGTGGTCTGATGACTTCCTATGAATCCATCACATCTCTTTTGCCAGGAAATTTAACCCGTTTATGAGACTCGAAGAGCCAGATGTCGCCAGCGCTGTCGGGCTCAACTCACCATCAAGAGTCGAAGTGATGACCAAGTTGAGAGAACTCAAAAACTCTTTCAAAGCTTAAGGTCCTCTTATTTCATTTTCCCAAAAGAAATAAAATAAAAAAGACCGGCATGTATGCCAGGTTTTTGAACGAATGTTCATATGTTGATTGTAAAATGCTCTTACCATTGTCATACTGACAAGCAAGTGTATTATCGCCAAGAAATTGTCTGTTGATTCACAGAGCCGATCCAACTTTGGCGATAAAGAATTGGAGAATGAGAGAGAATATGAGATGGCGTTAGTAACTTATCTTCATCGCAGAAAAAACGCTACTCATGTGATGGAAAATATTGATTAATCCCGGAAATATAAGCCAATCTCAATATCTCAACACAAGTCGCTCATGATGGCGGTTTGTGCCCTCTGTGACACTGGCTGGCAGGTGGAGTCCGCCCTTTCTGAAAGTATTGCTTTAGGTCACTTTGCTGAAGAAGTGTCTCAAACTTCAAAATACCTCCTCTGCAACTCTTTTTACTTGAACAGCCCCTTATGAAAGCCCAATGATAGAAGGTAGAAAGTACGATGTTGGTTAGTGAGAGTGTAGCTAACATGCTTGTGCCCATCTTTCAAATTTCATTTTCTCTTCATCACTTAAAATGGAATCTATGGTAGATTTTTCATACCAATTATCTTGAATAGACATACACCACGGGTGCACCCAGGCGTCCTCTATGTCTATTCAAGATAATTGGTATCAAAAATCTACCATAGATTCCATTTTAAGTGATGAAGAGAAAATGAAATTTGAAAAATGGGTGCAAGCATGTTAGCTACACTGTCACCAACCAACATCGTACTTTCTATGTTAACTCATGAACTGCATGGTGCATTGCCACAAGGTGCAGGCAATGCATCTCTCTTGCCTCGAGCATATTCCAATCTCCATGCAAACCGAGCCATCCGTCTGACACACCATACCTTTCCAATCAGTTTGTCAGTGCCTTATAACCATCTCCGCTTCGAGACCAACCGTCTGACCATTACCTAATGGTCACCAAAAATTAAATCATGAAAAATCTCATCGATATGCCGTCATTCATTTATCACTTACCGAAGTTGTGAAGCAACTTCGGAAACTAACCAACAGAAATTCAAGTCAACTGTTTGGTTCTGACTTGGTATCGGCCGGAGATTGTTGGATTCTGCAAGGATAAAGAGCAAGTTACCTGTGGCTATCAATGAGTCTTGACCCTTTTTCTCCCTTCTCGCATAATAGAGATCGTAGACAGATTAAATTGCAACAATTTGAATCATACGATGCAGCACTTTACTTTATTAAAATTGCTCACAGTGGTCTTTATCAGCAGTCACGTTGATTGTGGAACATACAAATGTCCCGTACCAAGTGACCTCACAACTGGGGATGGCCAGCAAAGAGCCTTCGGCTATTGTGCCAGACCGGTCACTTTGGCAGACAAAAATACTGAAATGGAGAGGATCAGACTGCAAGGGCGAGATTTCTTCCGTAAGTCTTGTTTGGAAATTGCATGCCTCCACTAGATTTCCTGATCAAGAGTCAATTTTTTGTCAATCATATTGATAAGAATCACCACTTTTTTGGCCTCCAAACATGGGATCCCAGTAACCCAAGCTGCAAACTTTCCCGCTCAGCCTGGAGTGTTTAGCTGTGACGGAAGAAAAGTAGGCAAGAACGTTATGAAACCCGCCACAATTCGGCTGTGCAGCTATGCCACTACCATGAATCCTCAAAACCCGGTGCGCCCATTTGAATCCCAATGCTGATCCACATGCTAAGACTTGTACCCCTCTCACAACAGGAAACTGAGTTAAGCAAGAAAACACTCAATAATGTTTGCAGCCCAGTTCCATGAGCAACTCGACAAGGAAAAATCTTTCCCCCTTGCTTTTTTGTCAAACCTTTCTCCCTATTGGTTTGTCATATTATGTGAGAACTATCTGCCGATTCTGCCTCCATATACAGGTCTGGACCTGTAGTAAAAAAGATTTTCAAGGACATTATGTAGACTAGTAAGCTCAATGAAGTGCCTCATTTTATGAGGGAGTTCTGCAGTCAGATCAACAAAGTGCCTCATTTTTTGAGGACATTCTTCCCTGTATTTCACTCAATGAAGCACCTCATTTTTTCTTTTTTAGAACAAGTTTCTATGAGAGTTTGAATAAAGCCTAATATGAAAGGAAAATGGATGACTTCCCGTCGCAATCTACAACCCTCCCAGAAGTTGTTTTACACCCCCTAGATCTAAATTTTTTATCAAAAAAAACCTTTTTTCTGAAGCCTCCTGGCAATAGCTCTCACATGAGCTAGTTGGAATCTCAATTGCTTTCTTAATTTAAGACTGAGAGAGATCTAAAAAGCGCTCTAAATCGCGACGGGAAGTCCTCCAATGTATTTTCAAATCTGGTACCTGATTCTATAAAGGAATTCTGCAGTTAGACCAATGAGGTGCCTCATTTTTGAGGACATTCTATATTTCACTCAATGAAGCACCTCATTTTTTTTCTTTTTCAAAACAAGTTTGTATGAGAGTTTGAATATAGCCTTTCTTCAATGAAATGAAAAATGCATGATCAAATCTGGGGAAACCCCGTCTATTTTTTGGATGTTCCAGATAATTGCAAAAGAGTCCCATCAGAATCAGTATCAAATGACATGGCCCCATTGCATGACATTCTAATTTTTTCCATTCCTCCAATTTTCTCAGCATCTTTTCTTCCTTTTGTTTTTCTGTATTTGAATTTGAATTTTGGAGTGATCAAAATGTGATATGCCTGTTTCCCTTGAATTTATTTTAGTTATGGTGTTCAAAAATTGGATATCTATTTATTTTTTTTACTTAACACTATGTGCTTGACAACATAATCTATGAATTTTTCTGAGACCTGTCAATTTGAGCTACAAGTATTCTGCCCGCTCCCTGCCAAAACTTGTGTTTTATTCTTTTGTATTTATATACTAACAGTTCCACATTGAATTTTGAATACCATAATTCCTGTTATTGGTCAGTGCAGATGCAAGCTGCTATGCTAACACTGACAAACAATAAAAGAATTAACAGCAATAATGGCCCTGTCATTGCCACTAACAGGACAAAATAACAGTTATTGCTGTTATCCATGCCTGTTTTCTGACAGGTCCCTGTTATTCTTAACAACCCAATCCAAATTCATTACAGAAAAATCTGTCAGGTTTAGCCAGTTTTGGATGTACTACACTACACTCATGTTGGTGTTAATGTATCTGTCATATTGTCGCCTTTATTTGCCAAAACAAGACCAAGAATTGATAAGATGAAAAACCTTACAATTGAAACAAACATTTTGTTTGGGTGGTGCCAGCACCAGCATTCATTAGAAGGGTTCATTAATGAGCTTTAAGGCCATTTGTAAGGGTTTTCTGATCACAAAATTGAATTTTCCTTGGGATGTACAGAAAGATCAGAAACTACAATCTGAATAAATAAATATATATATATAGTTGCAGACAGAAAAAACCAACCCAGTCCTGCCTGCAAAATACAAAATTGAAATGTCCCCCCCAGGGGGGGGGGTTGCAAGTACACCAATGCTCTTTTTTATTACAATTTTGAACTCCCACAGGTGTGTAGAGTTCAAAATTGAAAGCAGTAAGGTTTTCAGTAAGTGATTTTAATTTTGTTTTTCATTTATACATACATATTATTTAACAAGCATGGATTAAGCCATAATTAAGCTCATACTTATGGGCTTTAGTAATGCATATTCATGGTTTTATACTATTTCTAGATCCTCAACATAAATTGTCCCTGTCAATTCACCATTCTAATGTATGTTTTCAACACTCTAGAATGACCTCATTGACCTGAAGGAATTCCTTCTGGTTGATGAAGTTGCCAGCTGGTGGTCATCATCACCCCCCCCTTCACCAACACTTCTGATCTTAATCAGGTTTTCAAATTGTTTGTGTTAATGCATGTCATATATATCAGTTGATCCAAGTTTGATAATAGACTGCTACATATAGTTTCTCTGTCAGAATTCTAGTGTAGTACATTAGAGGGGCAGGTCTTTCAAACCACTTTTAACATTTGTATTCAATTCATACATATCTGAAATAAAAATAACTGTAATTTTCCCCTCAAAGGACTGCCACCCTTCCCAAAGGAGTTCTCACACCAGCCATGCATTTAGAGGAACAACTCCCAAGCAACATCTGTCAATGGTATTTGGGAGTTGTTGACAAATCCTTGGCAGTTGTTTTTATAAGCCCCTAACAATATGGTTCCAAATTTCTTACATTGATGAAAAAGGAAAAAGAAAATCA